ATTGCGATATATTATATATATATTTACAATTATATAGGACTGTCTCAACATATACATACTGATATTTATAAATAAAATATTCTTAATATGATTATACATTTATATTCATTAATATAAAAAAAAAGTCTGATGTGGTCGACACATAACCAACCGATTTACACCTTTTTCTAATTCTTACAAAGCTTCAAATTTTTTAAATAATTTTCCTAGAGAGTTGTAGTTGTGGGTGATAGGTACTGCAAAAAATGGTTAAAACGTCTGATTTAAAATAGAGAAACCTTGATTTTCAAAACTGCACAGGGCGCTAAACAAGTAAGAGCCGATACTGACATTTTAGCTCAAAAGCTGACTAACTAAAATTCAAGAACATGACTAAAATAAACTCAGTTAAAAATTTTATTCAAAACCCATTTTCAACCGCAATTGAGAAAAACGAGTATAAACTCAAATCTTTCATTTCAAGAAGCTTGTTTATTGTAAATAAACATAGTAGAAAATGTAAAATCGCCACATATTCAGTTGTTGACAAGTCTAATTTGAAATACATAGAAGCACACATACACAACTAGATAGTCAGACTGCCACCTCGCCAAAAATAGTTTACTTTTGGTTTGCTATCACCAAAAAATTCAATTCTTTTAAAAACTCAACATGTGAAATTTGGTGACTTCACATAACTTCCTCTATTGTACGAAATTTTGTTGGTAAAAATAGTGGCGTATACAGAGAACGTCATTCCTTTATCTCACACATCTCTTTTAATATTTATAATAAAGCAAAAACATTCAACTTTCACATTTTATACATTTATACTCATATAATATTTATAAAAATGAAAGCAAAAACTATACTAACATTTCAGCCACCATTCATGAAATTTTATAATTTATAACACTTCTTAACGCTGCAATGACTCATATAATGTGTACATTAAAAGCAATATAATGTACATTTTCCTAACTTTGTTTTGGTATATGTGTTGTCTCTAACTATATGATTCGATTCTCTTCTCTTACCATTTCCCTTTAACAATTTAACTATACACAATCGTTTATAAAAAAGCATATTTAATTTTTTTTTATATTATATACAGCAATTGCTATTTTTGTTATGTGTGTCTGTACGTACTTTGTTTTTGTTTCCCATTTTTTTTTTTGTACAATGAAAAAGGATCAAAATACATAACAACCCCAACAATAAAAATAAACATATATCAAGAGTCAAGACTAAACAACTCTAAAGTGTCCTTGATAGTAAAAACATTGTTTTGTTGCATTATAATGAAAATAAAATAAATAAAAATACAATAACAATATTACATATATAAAAATTAATGGCAAAAAAGACAAAAAGAAAATTAAAATGATTTAAAAATAAGTAAAAATGAAAATAAAGTGTGATCAAAATTATGGTTAATTTTATTGTTTTAGACGTTAACTTTAATATCACGAAGAAAACAAAAATGGAAAATTAACTTTGATTTAATTTAATTTTACTTAATTCAACACCAGGGATCCGACTGAATTTTTATTCAATAATTTAATCATTATAATAAAAAAAGTTATGATGAAATAAAATATGAAAAATAATCCAAATTTGGGGTAGATTTTATTTTTATATTTACTCCTTTTTCATTTGATTGCAAAAAAATTATGGGAAAACAAAATTTTCGTGTCAAGAAATTGTTTTTGAAAGAAAATTAATTTTATTTATTCCCAATATTAGGGAATTGAATGCATTTAGCACTAACATATTTATTACGTCTTTAAAAATATTGCCAAAAAACCAAATGAATCTATCTGCATTATAGAAATTTCATTCTTTCTAATGAAATTTCTAATAAAACATTGCGTCAGGTGAAATCATGCTATTCTCCTTTATCATAAAATTTGCTTATTAATTAAATTCTCCTGATTTATTTTTGTATCGTCTATGAATTTTCCAAATAGTCCAACAAAAAGTTAATTAATGATTACTCTCATCATGTATTTTGTTATCACTTTCCATTTATTTTCGTTCTCTGGCGTTATTCTCATCATAACCACCTTTTATTTCTAGTATTTATAATATTTGTATTTGATATTAATTTAAGCCATTTAAAATCATTATTAATCTTCAAAACCAATATTTATGTGCATCACATTCTATTTGTATCATTTTTCTTAAGAAAACAAAATCATAAAGATCTTATATTATTGTTTTTCTTTTGAAATTTACAAATTTCATCATAATTCTTTTAAAAAATATTTCATATCAAAAAATATTGAGCCTCCGGTCAATGAAAACTAATTTTTTATTTTAAAATTTTCGATTAATTTTTTTTCTATTTTCCTTAGAAATTCAAAATCGTGACGTTCGAAATTTCGTTTGAGAACAAAATTTACTTTTATTCAAAAAAAAAATTAATGCCAGAAGTCATAAATTTTCTAACTTATTTCTAACGTCATCTTTTATATTTTTACTTAACAAAAAAACATTTCATATAAAACTTCACTTTTCCTTCGTAAGACACAAATACACTAATAAATGAAAATTGACTTGACGACGACCTTTTTTCCAATTATAAATTTTTTTTTTCCTTATCATCTTCCTTAATTTTGATATCACCTTTTCTTTTTATTTTTTCTTTTTCAAATTCATTGTAATTAATTTAATACCGTTATATTTTTCCTGTGGTAAAATTCATGAAAAGAAAATCAAATTACACTGAAATTGAAAAATTACTTCAAATTATATAAATATAATTTTTCCTTGTTTACACCACAGATCTTTTATATTTAATATTTGTGTGTATATATGTATGTATAACAGAACATTATGTATTCGTTCTGTACATAGTTTAAAATATCAAATAAAAAAGAAAAATTATTAGAAAAGTCTGCAGCATTTCTAATCCAACCCTGACCTTTTTTTTTGTTCTTTGTTAACAAAGAAAACCGTCTAAAAAGTAGAAACAACAAAATTTTATAAATGAGTTTTGAATGAATTTTAATGATTAAAATGGTTTTAAAAATACTATGTATATTACCAACATCTTTGAAAAAAATTCCCACAAATATAACCAAAAATTTTTCTTTTTATCGTTTCTTATAGTTTTATTTATGTTATTTTTGATCCATAACGCTCATATTCTACATTATACGAGTATATTAAAATTCTAAAAAAATATGTAAAATACAATACATACCAACTTAATGTGCACATATATGTAAAAAGAACCCCATCATTACAGGATATACACGACCGTACAGAATTAAAAAAAAAAAGTTTACTTTACTTCTTTAAGTGAAAAACAATTCAAGTATACTTCAAAATATCAATAGTAAGCATTTTCTGTAACAATCATTCGATATAAATTATTCTATTCCAAATAAATGTGATTATTTTGTGCTAAATATTCGCACATTTGCATTTTATTTAACTCAGGACAACAATTTTAGTTCAATAATTGTACTCTCATTTGAATAAAAATGAAGTTGAAACAAACGAAAATTCCAAACATTTTCTTTCATACTTCCAACGCAAAATGAAATGTTCGATGATAGATTCAAAGATTGATAATGCAAGATGAAAGATTCGACAATTTTTCCAAGATAAAATGTAAAAGTAGCTTATTATCTCTGTACAAATTGTTATGATAGTTTATTCCTGTTGAAACATCCTGTACGAAATAGGTATATATGAGAATTGCATATACGATATATTTTTTTTCCTTCTATATTTTCACTCTAATACTACAATACTTTATAAAAAAATCAACTTAATACACTGAATTAGATTTTAATGAAGAAGTATATAACAAGGAAAAAAGGATAAATCTAAAAGGATACTAATTAATTTCGTATATTTTTTGTTTTTACCTCTGGTTGTAACAAAAAACAACAAAAAAAAAATATATTTTTGTTAATAAAACGAGACTACCTTGAAAAACGAGACTACCTTATGTTTTAATAATAAAGAAATTTACCATTGCACTCAGATCCGGTTCTGATTCATTTGGTGCCCTACGCGTTTTCCAAATAATGCGCCCTCCTTTCCTCCTTGCCCCTGCTTTCAAAACAAAGAACAATATGAAATAAACATTGAACGTGGCGCATAATAAATTATTTTCTTGTAACTTTATCATGCTCTACACCAGATTGGTCATAAAATTAAAGTCTAAAATTAAACTTTCATCTTTTTGTTTTGCAATATTTGTTTATATACTTATAAGTTGTCAAGTTTATTTTATTGTTAATAAATAGCAATACTTGGAAAACACGTAATGGAAAAAAAAATGAAAAAAATTTTATTTTTTTAAATATATGTACATAGTAGTCTTCAATGACACCCCTGTTTTCCGACACTCATTGCATGTGTTTACGTTGATTATATGGTAGATCCGTCGCTGATTACACTTATTAAACTTTAAAAAAAAAGAGTACATCATACTTAATTTGTAATTCTAAATGGACATTCAATTTGCGTTGATTGAAAAAGTCAATTAAATAAGGGGTTCTTCAACAACAGATATAAGTTGATTAGCGTGAAAAGTGAAGAACTTCAAACAACGGGTCGTTAACATATATTTTTTATTCATATTTACGAACTTCCTAAAATTCTTTGTCCCGATTACATTTAAAATATCCAATTTACATATTGTAAATACTCTAATATTACAATTAATAAAAACATAATAAAAAAACTAATTAGAAATAAAATTTTGAAAAGGTAATAAAGTAATAACGAAAGTTATTAAGGTTTTAATCTCTTTCTTTTCTTAATTTCTTCTAGCCTTTCATAATAATATTGTAATTGGTTATTGTTAAACATTGTAATTTAGAAAATCTTCAAAATGTCTTTATCCAAGTTACTTTATCTAACAAAGGCTATACATATACCATTATTTATTATATAAATTTTACCTTCATGTACATGTAAAATGTATACAATATATTTTATAAATTTACATAAAATAAAATATTTAAAAACTTTTTCTTCTGATTTATTTATTTTTACAGGAAGACATGGTTTGCTTATCATGTACAGCAACTGGTGAACGTGTCTGTTTAGCAGCTGAAGGATTTGGTAATCGCCATTGCTTTCTTGAGAATATTGCCGATAAAAATATACCACCAGATTTATCTCAATGTGTATTTGTTATTGAACAAGCATTATCAGTACGTGCCTTACAAGAATTAGTAACAGCAGCTGGTTCTGAAACTGTAAGTTTAAAAAAAAATATAAATACATATTATAAATATAAATGTTATATAAAACGATTACAATATAATAATATTTTGTAAATACATATGTATATTATTTATAACAGTATAACAATATTATATAAGCAATATTATAGAATATGTGTATATACATATTTTATTTATTATTAAAAAAATATATATATTTAGAATGAGGGAGAAATATTTTAAAGTTTTATCATATTATTTTGAAATTTTATTTCTGAATTATATTTAGAAAGAGATTATTTTATATAAATTGGTAAAAAATGAATTTAATTGAAAAATTATTTTTAAATAATTATGACTAAAACTTTAAATATTTTAAGAAAATTTTTTAGAAATTGTTCTTTTTTTTTTTTTTTGTTGGCATGTAGGACCAATGAATTTTTAAATCCTTAATTTTGAGTTTATAGTTTTTATCCACTATTTCATTTTTGAAATTTTCTCACATTTAAAATAAATACCCACCCTGCTAAAATTATAATATTTAGTGATTCACTTTGGTTATTATACATGGTTTCTATTGAACTCCCTATGATATTATGGCAACAAATTTTTAAATTTTCAAATATTCATATAGTTATAGATATCAAAAACATTTTCAATTTTAGACCTTTTTTTTTTGTGTGAGGCGAAAAATGGAAGGTATTTAAATTATAATTGAAATATATTAGTATAATTTTATTATTTATTTAATTTATGTTTTATATTATATTGTGTGCCATCTTAGTAGTATAGGTCACCCGCGTATTAATTGAAATCCTACTTATTAACGTTATCATGAAAATTTTAATTAAAAATAATTTTATATTATATAATAAATTAATTTTTATTCAATACAATATCATTTAGATTAACGCTATTATTACGTTTTTATCATCGTTAAAATTGATCAACAATTCATTATAAGCTTTTATTTATATATATATATATATATATAGTATAATACTTCCTATAGTTCGGTTTATCGGTCATATTTATTAATTAATAAATAAAATCAATTTAATATTAAATTTAATATTGTTATTGTATATACGAATACAAAATAAGTATTATATGAGCTATAGTATACTTATAAAAAAATTCTTAACTACAAATCTATAAATATGGCTATATTTTACCAATGAAAGTAAGCACAAAATTTGTTTACTTAAATTTAATAAAAACCAAATGAAAAATCCATTTTTCGAAATCATTTGTTATACATATTTCGATTAAGATTATATTTTAAATATTTTAGAATAAAGTATTTTAACCGGACTATAGGATATACATTTTGTATTATGAACAATAATACTAGAATTTATCCAAAAAATTCAATTTCATGTTAAAATTCATTTTGCAATTAATGCTGTGCATTTATTTAAGCTTAATAATACTGATATTTCAAAGCTTACATAATATAACGTAAACTCTTAAAAAAATTTAATTTCAAATCAATCATAAGAATAGAAGCATTATATAAAAATTGAAATTGATTAAATTTCTGTTATTTTCAGAATGCTGCACAAAATTCTCTTTTTTTTTTTTTTTAAATAATTTAAATCAATTGCTTAAAGTTATTTACAATATTAAAAGCTTGAAAACAAATAAAATTTTGTTATTTTTATTATTAATTAAAATATTCACAATAGCATTACGAGAACAAATATAAGAACGTATGAATTTTAATATATAAAAATATATTCATGAATTCATGTAATACAATTTCGCATTCAGTTTATTAACTGTTTCCGCTTCCGCTCAATTATATTTTCAAGCTTTTCTTGTTTTTATTGGTTAATCCTTTTTATCCATTTCTTTTTTTTTTATTATTTTTAATTTTCAATTTTTACCAATATTATTTATTATCTCAGATATTTTTATAACTCATAAATTTTGATTTTATTTTATTATATTTTAATAATTTAAAAAATGTTTTTACCAATTTTATTATTATTCCCATTAATTTGTTAAATTATTGTTGGCATTTTTTATTGATTCAAAAAGAAAAAAAAAACGAATCGATATTAATTTATTATTATATTAATTATTATAAATAAAATATAAGGAAAAAAAATTTTAATTCTTCGCAAAATACATTTGGCAATCGATGATGTTATCTAAACATTTTAAAATATTAAACATTACATAATTGAATTTTGCACTTTATAAAGCACATATAACTTAAAATTTAAAACATAGGTACATTTAGTCACTTTAATTTAGAATGAATTCTTGTACACTAGAAAAAAATTTAATTCTTAATTGATGGACTTTATTAATAAGCATTTCAGATTATATTTTAGGCTTTCTTATTTTCTTAACGTCTAACAGAAAATAAAAAAGACATAAATCATTAGAATAGTTCAATATCTTAAACATAAATTGGTAATTTTCTACTTTGGCTGTTATGATTATTCTATGACCCATTTGATATTGTCATGTATTTGAAAAATAATGAGTTCGTTTTTTCTTAATAGGTTGCAGCAACATTCATGTTGCTATTTTTAAAAATTTACAAGACTATATAAGAAATTAATGAAAATATAGGAATAAAGCTCTTATTTTACTCTTTTAAATTTAACAATAAGTATTATAATAAATATGCTTTCAAGCTACTCTTAGAATCACAAACTAAGCTATCATAAATTCCTTTCGTAGATATTATGAATCAGTAATGGCACTCACATTTTTTGGGGTGTCAAAATCAGTATTTTGTTTCCACTGTCAAATATTCATTTACATTTTCTTGCTATTTGAGTAAATAACTTTCAGTTGCTCAGTTCAACAAGTTTATAGAATTCATTTTGCTTTATATTACCTGCTTTAGAGAAAGAAATTAGAGAGAAATTTTAAACGGCCGTTCTCTTAACGTAATTTATGATTGCTCTATTACGAATATTCGAAGCAGAATTTTAGTAATTTCAGGACTACAAGCGAAATTTATGATAAGACTGCATATTTATAATATGTGTATCATAATAAATATATATTTATTATGATACAATATGAAGATAGGAATAGTCATTTTCAAATTTTTTATTAATTTTCCTATTTATTTCGATATTATAGATATTATATATACATATATATACATTTGTTTTTTTTTTCAATTTCAATTTTTATTTATTCACTTATTAAATTTCGTATAATATTTACATATTTTTCTTCTTTTTTTTCATATTTTATTTACTTTCCGGTGCTTTTGTAATATGTCTGTTGTTGCCTTCCATATACATACATATATATATATATTTATATATTTATATGTATATTTACACAAATACATATATATATTTACATAAAAAATATATAAAAAAAAACAACACATATACATGCATATTAAATACAAAAAATAATCAAATATCAAAAATTAAAACAAAAAACAATAAAAAAAAAAATAAATCAAAAACGTTTACTAAAAAAAATTTTTGAATATTTTCAACCTACCAAAAAAAAAACTACATCCACAATAATAATCTTTATATATATTTTGCAAATGTCCTTTAAAATCAAAACAGGATAGTTCACTTGTAAGTACCAAAAACTATTATTAAAAACAGAAAAAATAATATAGTAGAAAAAAAAAAAAATTGAAAATATTTTGTTGTATAGCTTTTTAAGAAGATCTTTTCTAACACACATTAAAAGATATTCACGTATTGGAATTTTTTGATTTCGAAAACAAAAAAGAGCATTATAGTATCAATAGTTATCAGTAATTGAGTTAAAGCTTTTGACGTATGAATCGATCTGAGTCAAAGTATGAATCGGTTCAAAAAACAGCTAAATTGATTTAAGTGTAGAACCTATATCCAACGGAAGACAAACACAATCTCAGAATCTTATCTCTTTTGAAGGGAATCTTAAAACAAAATCAAATCTTAAAACATAAGACAATATTTCTCGAATTGTTCTTAATTAAAAGATGAATTTATTGTGCTGTGTCATGAAAGTCACATATTATATGATGGTAACTGAAATTCATAAAAGCTTAATATAAATATTTTACAAGCATTCTAGAAAAATTTTTATAAAATTTTTGCTTGTTTATCAAAAATACAATCCGTGAATATCAATCTATTCTTCCCACTCTTTTTTTTTTTTGGTGTTGTAGTAGCAAATGAATTTTAATTAAAATTTTGAATTCTTCCCCTTTATCCCTGATTTCAAATTGTTTTTTGGCACTATTTCTAATTACAACTACTCTTTTTTTATTGTTTTTTTAAAATCTTTATCCAATTGAAAGCTACATACTATTTTTAGCGAAACTTTTAATATAGATTATTAGTATTCCATAATTAATATTCGAATAATTTTAAAATTTTCAAACTAATAATATAATTCTATTTAATCTAAATATATTTTACTTAATTTTTTAACAACATTAATATTAATTAACAGCATTGGTTAAATTTATACTCATTTAAATACTAATAAATATAAGTAGCTATGATGACAAACCACAAAGAAATATTAAAGAAAATGCGTTATTAAGAATTATTTTTAAATAACTTTTTACAAATACTGATAAAATGGGGTATCATCGATTATTTATTCTTTTAAAAATTCAATTTTGAAAATCTTTTAATCAAATTTTCTAAATTTTTTTTATTTACACGGCCAACATTCTGACAATACTCGAATTTTGAGTACCTTATTTATGAAATATTTCTGTCATTGTAAATTTTTAATTTTACAAAAAAAAAAAATCACTAAAAATATAATTCTTCCTAGGGTCTAATCTTCCATATGCTTCTATATGCTTCCAAGTTATTGGGATTATTAATTATTTTGTATTATTAATTTATTAATTTAATTAAATACAAATTTTGTCATCATAGCAATTTATGGGATATTGCTCCTATAACCGACAAATATATGCAGTTGGCAGTTTAAAGCATACTATGCGGTATTTTGCCGTAATTAATTTCATCCTATGAAAAATAATTCATTTCATATTGCAGGAACCTTAAAATTACTATTATTTTACCTATTTCGTTTCGAGATAAATACTTCATCTTAATGAACTTAACATTAACATTACTTCATCCTATCTCTCACAAAAATCTTGAATGTTATTTTCGTAATTATTATTTCAAAACTAATATTTTTTAGAATGCATGAATTAAATTATTTATTTAGTTTGAATTAAAAAAAAACTCTGTCAGAACATAAAGAACGCAGAAACGCAGACAATTTTTAACGTAAATATCTGTAAGAGCTTAATGTAAGTAATAAAAGAAAAAAAAACCGCTGCTTTGCTAAAAATTTATTTGATATTGAAATTGAAAAAACCTCAGAAATCAGTCTTTTCAATAGTCTGTTTTCATAATAATTGAAAAACAGCTAATTAGCTAATATTTAAAAAAAATCATCAAAGATCCTTTCTATTATGATTTTTATTAGTTGCATACTTTTAGGATTGGTTGCTTGATTCGATTTTTATTTCATTTATTTTAAAAAAAAAAAACCAATTTTTATATTTTTGTTTTATATTTTTTAAGCAAATTGTCAAAAACATTTTGTTTTTTTTAATTTTTGCTTCGTTCCTCCCTACCAAAATAAAGAATGAAAAAATTTAACTACCTCGTATATACTAGAAATCTATACAAACAAAATACATTCATGTGTAGTACAAAAACAAAAATGCTAATTTAGTAGAATAAATGTTTATTAACAATTTATCGCTTTTTTACAATTAATTTTTACAAGAACAAGAAAATTTTTATCCAAACATATATAATTAATTTTATTTTTCATGTATAAAAACAGGGTAAAGGCACCGGTTCAGGACATAGGACTTTATTATACGGCAATGCTATTCTTTTAAGACATCATAATAGTGATATGGTAATACTACAAAACTTTTATTAAATAACAAAAAGTCAAATATTCTACAAAAATTAAACAAATTTTAGTACTTAGCTTGCCTTTCGACATCTTCATCAAATGATAAATTATCATTTGATGTTGGCCTTCAAGAACACAGTCAAGGTGAAGCATGTTGGTGGACTGTACATCCCGCTAGCAAACAAAGATCAGAAGGTGAAAAAGTTCGTGTCGGTGACGATTTAATTTTAGTATCTGTAGCAACAGAACGTTATTTGGTAAAAGAAAAAACAACTAATTAAATTCTGTATTATTAAATAAATGTGATTTTTAATTTTGTAGCATACAACAAAAGAAAATGAACAATCTGTAGTAAATGCCAGTTTTCATGTTACCCACTGGTCTGTACAGCCCTATGGAACTGGTATTTCAAGAGTTAAATATGTTGGCTATGTATTTGGTGGAGATGTTCTTCGCTTTTTTCATGGTGGTGATGAATGTCTCACTATACCGAGTTCATGGAGTAGAGAGCCTGGTCAAAAGTAATTATCTTTTAGATTTTTTTTTTTAATTACAAAACATGTACAACTTTTTCTCTTGTTTTCAAACATAAACTAGCATTGTTGTGTACGAAGGCGGTTCTGTAATGTCTCAAGCTAGGTCCCTTTGGCGTCTAGAACTAGCCAGGACAAAATGGACTGGTGGCTTTATAAATTGGTTCCATCCTATGAGAATAAAACATATCACAACAGGACGATATTTAGGAGTGAATGAAAATAATGAATTAACTTTGGTAAATTTTTTTAATTTTCATTGTATATGTAAAATTACAATCGCGACATTAAAATTTATTCGCAGTTGAAAAGAGATGAAGCTTCAATCGCTGTTTCAACATTTTGTTTACGTCAAGAAAAAGATGATCAAAAAGTGGTTCTTGAAGATAAAGATCTTGAAGTTATTGGTGTTCCTATTATTAAATATGGTGACACAACAGTAATAGTGCAGCATTGTGAATCAGGTTTATGGCTCAGTTATAAAAGTTATGAACGTAAAATGAAAGGTGTAGGAAAAGTTGAAGAAAAACAGGCAATGCTGCACGAAGAAGGTAAAATGGACGATTGTTTAGACTTTTCCCGTTCTCAAGAAGAAGAATCAAAAACAGCACGTGTAATTAGGAAATGTAGCAGTCTCTTCACTCAATTTATTAAGTACGCATAATTTTAAAATTATGTTATATATTAAATAAGATTTGTCACAATTTAAAAAAAAACTCTATTACAGTGGCCTTGAAACTCTGCAAACTAATCGGCGGCATTCACTATTTTTTGGTAATGTCAATTTAAATGAAATGGTAATGTGCTTAGAAGATTTAATTAATTACTTTGCACAACCTGATGAAGACATGGGTTAGTTAAAAATTTGTTTTTTTAAAGTACCTAATTAAAAGCTTTTTCTTATTTTAGAACACGAAGAGAAGCAAAATCGATTTAGAGCGCTTCGTAACCGTCAGGACTTATTCCAAGAGGAAGGTGTTCTCAATTTGATTTTAGAAGCAATTGACAAAATTAATGTCATTACCTCTCAAGGCTTCTTAGCGAGCTTTTTAGCAGGAGATGAAGTCGGTCAAAGTTGGGATTTAATTTCAACCTACCTTTACCAACTTCTTGCAGCTATTATTAAAGGAAACCACACCAATTGTGCTCAGTTTGCTAACAGTAATCGCCTTAATTGGCTTTTTTCCCGTTTGGGCTCACAAGCTTCAAGTGAAGGCTCTGGTATGTTAGATGTACTCCACTGCGTCCTTATTGACTCACCAGAGGCTTTGAATATGATGAGAGATGAACATATCAAAGTTATAATTTCGCTACTGGAGAAGCACGGACGCGATCCAAAAGTTTTAGATGTATTGTGTTCATTGTGCGTTGGTAATGGTGTTGCTGTAAGATCATCACAAAATAATATTTGTGATTATTTGCTTCCTGGGAAAAATTTGTTGCTTCAGACACAGCTGGTGGATCATGTAGCGAGGTAAAATTCTAGACTTTTGTTTATTTAATTTAACATGAGTTTCAATTCTTTAAATATATTTTTTTCCAACCCAATATAGTATTCGCCCAAATATTTTTGTTGGACGCGTTGAAGGATCCGCTATGTATCAAAAATGGTATTTCGAAATAACGATGGATCATATTGAACAAACAACACATATGATGCCTCATTTACGTATTGGATGGGCAAACACTACAGGGTACGTTCCATATCCCGGCGGTGGTAAAAAGTGGGGAGGAAACGGTGTTGGTGACGATTTGTATTCTTTTGGTTTTGATGGTGTAAATCTTTGGACTGGTGGTCGCAAAACACAAGTAGTGGAACAAGTTCCAGAGGAACCTTTTATAAAAAAAGGAGATGTTATTGGAGTAGCTCTTGATTTATGTATTCCGATTATTACTTTCACTTTTAATGGTGAAAAAATTCATGGTAGCTTTAGAGATTTCAATTTAGATGGTATGTTTTTTCCCGTAATGAGCTGCTCATCAAAATTAAGTTGCAGATTCTTATTTGGTGGTGATCATGGTCGTTTAAAATTTATTCCACCACTTGGGTTTTCACCATTAGTACAGTGTTTGATGCCACATCAAGTTCTTAGTTTGGATCCTTGCTTTTATTTTGGGAATTTAAATAAGGGCGTACTTGCTGGACCATGGTTAGTTGAAGATGATAACGCATTTGTTCCTAATCCGGTCGATACATCCGCAGTCTTATTACCGAGTTCAGTAGATCAAATAAAAGAAAAATTAGCGGAAAATATTCATGAAATGTGGGCTTTAAATAAAATTGAAGCAGGATGGACGTGGGGAGAGAGAAGGGACGACATGCATAGAATTCATCCGTGCTTAACACATTTTGAAAATTTACCACATGCTGAACAAAGATATGATAATCAATTGGCTGTGCAAACTTTAAAAACTATAATAGCTTTAGGTTATTATATTACAATGGATAAACCTCCAGCAAGAATTCGTCCAATTCGTCTTCCGAATGAACCATTTATGCAAGCAAATGGTTATAAACCAGCACCTTTAGATTTAAGTGCTGTCTCCTTAACACCCAAATTAGAAGAATTGGTAGATCAATTGGCTGAAAATACTCATAACCTGTGGGCAAAAGAACGTATTCAGCAGGGTTGGACTTATGGTTTAAATGAAGATGCAGAAAATCACAGGAGTCCACATTTAGTTCCTTATTCTAAAGTAGATGAAGCAATCAAAAAAGCAAATCGAGATACAGCATCAGAAACAGTAAGGACACTTCTTGTTTATGGTTATAATTTGGATCCACCAACTGGTGAAGGGAATGAAGCGTTATTAGCTGAAGCGCTTCGATTAAAATTCGCTGCTTTCCGAACTTATAGAGTCGAAAGGAACTATGCTGTCACGTCAGGAAAATGGTATTTTGAGTTTGAAGTATTAACTGCTGGTCCTATGAGAGTTGGATGGGCGCGAGCTGATTGCCTGCCAGGTAGAATGTTAGGAAATGATGAGAACAGTTGGGCATTCGATGGTTATAATGTAAGTCGGAAACACCAAGTTTATACAAAAATATAAAGTTGAAATATTTAAAGCAAAATGTTAGTTTTTAAAAATTATTCAGGTTAAATTTAAGAGAAGAATTCAAAGAAATTTTTTTTTTTGTAAATTTATAATAATTTTTTTCTCCACAATTAAAATTTGTAAAATAAAAAATTAGGTATCAAAAAATCATGCAGGCTCAGTGGAACATTTTGGTGTTCGTCATGAAGCTGGTGATGTTATTGGTTGTTTTATTGATGTTAAAGATCAAACTATCAGTAAGGGCACAATTTTAAAAATTTTTTTTCTTATTTTATATTAAAATATATAATTTTCAAACAATATTTTGTAGAAATATGTTTTTTTCTTGTTTCTAATTTTAATTTAATTGCCTTGAAATTTCAAAACAATAATTAATGTGTTGGCTCTACAAAATAAATTTGTTTCTAATGTTTCACTGAACTGCCTTCTAAATTTTATAATTGCAAAAAAAAAAAAAAAAGAATAATAATAAAAACATATTAAAGCTTCTTAAGCGGTATTAACGTGCTTAGAACTCAAACCGTAATAAAAATCAAAGAACTATTCACGATAGTAAGTGTTCATAAAAGTTATTTTTGAGGACTTGATTCCAGTTTTTTTTTTTATCGTCTAATTTGTGCAGAAAAATATATGTTTAGATTAGTAAATTTTTCCACATACATGATTGTTGAAAAGAATTTTCACGTTGATAAAAAAAAGTTTCACAATCACAAGTATACATACATACATTATTATCTTTTTCAGTTTTAATAAGTCTTCCCAAAACCATATCAACTTTTGATATTGGCATTTTAAAAATTTAAGACAGAAATTTATAGTAAATTTTTTAGAAAACATGAAAACTGAAAATAATAATGATAAACGAAGACGAAACTGAAAAATTTTTAAGAATGACTTTTGGGATCCTTTCAAGGTGTTAAAAGAATCTCTTAAAGTTGTTAGTAAACAAATCCTGTGATTTTGAAACTTTCTTTCACTATGTGTTTTATTTAATTTTGTACATTTATTTTTTTTCTTCTTATTTAAATTTATTACTTTTCTATTGAAAAATTTTTCTCTTACTTTGTTGTTTTCAAATCCCAAAATCTAAATTAAAAAAAAAAACAATACAAAAAACCTATGAAAAACACATACACATTGTGTATCTTCAAATAAAAAAAAAACAAACAAAATTGGTCTTAAAATAAATTAGGAAGAAAAAGTGTCCGGAGGGTCTTCAGAAACGTTTGGAAAACAATGGACACCTGGTGATATTGTAGGTGTATTCTTAGACGTCGCTGATCATACAATTAGTAAGATTTCAATTAAACGGCCAAAAACAAAATTTAAATTTATATCATATTATTTGTAATGAGCGAAATGTCCTTATTTTAAATAATTTCATTTATTATTTTTAAAATTTTTGTTATTATTTGTTGTTGCATAAATTTAGATCATGTTTATAGTTTTCCTTTTATTTTTTTATTTCGTTTTTTTTTTTTTTCTTTATATTATTTGCTCCCCGCAGATTTTCCCAATCATGTCGGCAATTTTTAATCATTCTTCTGTCCTTATTATATAAAATAATATTATGTATGTTTATGTCGTACATTGCTAAAAGGCAGATTAATGATGATGACTACAAGTAACACACCTGCATAACAAAATTATTACAATTTCCTTTATAGCTTTTGTGTACAATTCGATAGATATTTTTAAAAACGTTTATTGTTATATCGTCTAATGCTACATTAATTCTCATGTTATGATATTGAAAATATAAAATTAAAAAAAAATCTTTTACATTCTCTAGGAAATGATGAAAATTTTGTAAAATTAATGAAAAAAATTTCCGAAGGTAATTAAATTAGCAGGATATAAAATTTGATCTCATTGAAAATATTAAAAAGCAAAAGTATAAGTTGAAAATACAGTGGATACCACAATTCCAACGTCTACAACTCGAAAATCTCCTTACCTCGAAGCTATATTAGTTCACTTGAAATTTCACATAACTTTTTTTTTTTCTTCAACTCGAAATCTCCATAACTTGAACTGTTTTATCGTTCCCGTGCGACTTGGAATTACAGAGGTCCCACTGTATTTCGTATTTTTCTTTACAATTTTGTTAGAGTTTGTCTCAATATAACTGAATAATAACACGTACTTAAAGAAATACTTAAAATTAATTTTGTTAAATGTAAATATTTAAATAAAAGATACAAAATCCTACATTTCCTTTGACAACCTTCTCTATTTTGATGCATAGTATGGCTAAACTGGTAACATTAAATATGTTCAAAATTATTTAGTTCTTTTTAATGCTTTGATATTTGCAAAGCAATTCTTAATAAAAAATTTAACTTTTCATTCTCCTTATTTTGAATATTTCATAGGTAATAATCGTGTAATTCGAAATTCTATGGCATTTCCATACTAAATAAAATAAGATTTTTCTTAAATTTCAATCCCGATGTTTTTCTTTCATCATTTCCTATTTATTATTATTTCGTTGTTCTTTTGTAATTTAATCGAATTTCATATGGTAATTTTTTATTAAAAAAAAATGAATAAAGTATTAATAAACATTTAAATATTTTTATTCGTAAACGTAAATACAAAAATTTACATAGAATATGCACATACATTTACGAAAAATATAGAAAAAGATCTATACAAAAACAAAAAACATCAATTGTAATTTAACTTGAAAAATCATTTATTTTTCCACTGTTCTGGTTCTATATTTTTAGTCCTTTAACACTTACAAAACTGCGCTGTTAAAATACATAGATATAAGATGCATGCACTTAAAATTTTCGCATACAGTCTGACAAATCTCATATCTACGATTTTTTCAGCTAATTAAACACAAATTCCAACCACTTGTTACCATCACTAAGTTTTAACACAGATTTGCTTCACTAACTTAATTTATTTTGTCTTAAGGCCTAACAACAATAAAACCGCTCAAAATGTTATTCGAAATATAACAAAAACGCTTTTAATAACTTTTTTTTAATTAATTTTAAATTTTAACATTTTAATAGTTATTTGATAAAACATTATAAAAAAAATTAAACAACTAATTTATGCATGAGTTGCATGATGTTTCAAAAATAATAACACAATATTTAATCAGCAATCAAATATCAAATTCAAAACACTTATTTAAATAAATATAGGCTTTTCATTAAATGGTGAGTTGTTAATGGATGCCCTAGGTGGCGAAACAACTTTCGCTGATGTACAAGCGGAAGACGTTGGGTTCGTTCCAGCTTGCACTTTAGGTGTACGTACAAAAATAATTTCTAACAAACTTTGAAATTTATGTTAACTTTTCTGCCTGCAGGTAGGACAAAAAGCTCGTTTGATTTATGGTCAAGATGTTGATTCCTTAAAATATTTTACAGTTTGTGGTTTACAAGAAGGTTATGAACCATTCTGCGTGTTAGTTTCTTATTATATAAAATTATATGAATATTTTATAATATATTCTAATTAAATACCAATCATTTCACACAGAAATATGCGTCGCGCAGTAACTCATTGGTATACCAAAGATCAGCCGATATTTGAAAATACTGAGGAAATTCCTGGTTGCCCAATTGATGTTACTAGAATTCCTGCTGGGGCTGACAGTCCACCTCATTTGAAAATATCACATAACACCTTTGAAACAATGGAGAAAGCAAATTGGGAATTTTTAAGATTATCTTTACCCGTAACTTGTGCAAGTACCTTTATTGAGTAAGTATCTGGCAAATTTTTTAAAATCATTGTGCATGAACTAGTTTAATTATTTTTTAAAATAGCGAAAATGAGAAAGATCGTCGTTGGAAAGAAATAAAAATACGACAATACCGTTTAATGCATGAAGCTGAAATGGCTATGACACCACAACCTCAACAAGGGCCTGGGGCACACATAGACCACATTATGAAAAGCGGATTTACCATGAGTGATATAAAAGGATTGCATCGTACATATGATGACACCGCAGAAGCTGAAGAAAGTATGTTGAGACAACCAGCTCGTCCACCAAGGAAAGGTTCCCTTACGAGAAATATCACCTTTGAAGAGGATCAAATGCTGGGATCTGCATCACAATTAAATGTGAGCGGTGATGAAGGAATTGATGATAAAAAGAAACAACGAGGAAGAAGTCCTTTCCGATTCTTTTCCAAAAAACCCCGTGATCAAAGTAAAGAGAAATCAAATGGTAGAGCACCTGAAGTGTCATTTGAGAGAAGAAATACTGTGGGTAAGTTCGACAAGAAAACTCACACCAGACTTAAGATAAAAAAACGAAAGTAAAGACTAACAAAGAAGAGAAAAATTTTTCAACTAGAACCTTTTTATAAAAATATTTTCTCTTTTTTACATCTTAAGCACATGGAAGAAATGTAATTCAGTCCCAACTGACCACTAGAGGTGCTCCATCCGTTCTGGTTTCCAATGTAAGACAAAGTTTCCATATTTAAGGGAACTGCCTAAGCTTTAATCACATTCGCTTCCATATTCCTGTGTTGACAGAAATAAAATAGTTTTTTTAATATTTTAGGCTGATATGCGTGTTCAACCTCCACAAGTCCCCGATCGCCCCAAGCAAACTCATTTGTCTGGTGGCAATTTGGGAGGAAATGGAGTTGAAACGTCTGGTACAGATATGTTTGATGCCGAATGCTTGAAACTGATTAATGAATACTTTTTTGGTGTCCGCATATTTCCTGGTCAGGATCCCACTCATGTTTATGTCGGTTGGGTCACAACGCAGTATCATTTACATAGTACGGAATTCAACAAAACGAAAGTAAAAACTGCTTCAGTTGTCCTTGAAGACGATTATGGTGATGCCTTAGCAAAAATCGACCATCAAAGTTGTTATATGGTTCGAGCAGACGAATTGTTTAATGAAGTAACACAAGATGCTTCAGGTAAGGGAGCATCTCAAGGAATGTTTATCGGATGCTTCGTAGATACTGCAACTGGTACTATTAGATTTACATGTGAAGGAAAGGAAACCTCACACCGTTGGTTAATGGAGCCTGATTCAAAACTATTTCCAGCTATTTTTGTTGAAGCAACAAGTAAAGAAATATTGCAAATTGAGCTAGGAAGAACGCCCACTACATTGCCACTCTCAGCTGCAGTTCTTCCCACTAGCGATAAACACATCAATCCTCAAATGCCACCACGGTTAAAAGTTCAATGTTTAAAACCAAATCAATGGGCAAGAGTACCCAATCAAGCGTTACAAGTGCATGCTCTTAAATTATCAGACATTCGAGGGTGGTCAATGCTATGTGAAGATCCAGTTTCTATGCTAGCGTTGCACATTCCCGAGGAAGACCGTTGTATAGACATTTTAGAATTGATTGAAATGGATAAATTGCTTTCTTTCCATTCACATACACTAACATTATACGCAGCTTTATGTTTTCAGTCCAATTATAGAGCTGCCCATGCCCTTTGCCAGCATGTCGATCAAAAACAATTATTATACGCAATTAAGTCCGAGTATATGAGCGGATCTTTGCGTCAAGGCTTTTATGATCTTCTCATTTCATTGCATTTAGAATCCCATGCATTAACAATGGAGGTTTGTAAAAATGAATACATTATTCCTTTAGGATCAGAGTTAAAAGATCTTTATGCTGATGAAGAAATGTGCCATTCCTTAAGGTCTTTGCAAATGGAGTCAGTAAGGCCGCAATTAAGAATGACAGAAATAGCGTAAGTTTTGATTTAAACTAATACGGTTTTAAACCTGCAATTTTCAAACAAATATCATTTAACGTCTATATTTTATATATTAATTTTTAGTTTTAAGAACATTATCTTTCTATTAGATTTCCCTACATAGAGACTAATTTCTTTTTATACCTATTTGCATGAAATATTACAACGGATTTTACACATTTCTTCCACACACTTACTTAATCAAATCATCAACAATTGGCAATATGTAAACTTTTGACATCAAAATTTACAATTAAATGTATCTGTCCACATGCAAAAACAAAACTGTGATAATTTTTTATACGTTGAACACGCCGTTGTAATGGATCTTTTGTGCATGATATTTAATGGTTCTTACATTAGTCCTATAACACATACCCCTTTAAATCAATCGAATACCCAACTAGCAGCTCCGAATCCTTCTAGTGAACCGATTCCATCTATTGATCAACTATATTCACCACAATTTCCACTTGAGGAAGTTAAAGAATTTGTTATGGAAGCTCTAAATGAAGCAGTTGAAGTAAATCAAGTTCATAACAGAGATCCAATTGGATGGTCAAATGAAAATTTGTTTTTGTAAGTATTTTAATAATATTGAAATATGCACCTTATAGTAACTAGTATTTAAAAGGCCAATAATTAAATTGACGGATCGCTTACTTCTTGTTGGAGTTTTAACCGACGAAGATATTATTAAGCTCTTAATAATGATTGATCCGGAAACTTGGGACGTTACGTTTGATAGAGGTACTAAAACAAAGAAATATTTCGGTTACAGTTCTATAACTGGTGTATGTTTCCAAATAATTTCAGAAGGTAAAGATGAGCATCGTAAGGGATTATTGACAATGAAAATGGCTGAAGGTGCCAAATTGCAAATGTGTTATTTGCTGCAACATTTGTATGACATACAGTTACGTCATCGGGTTGAAAGTATTATTGCATTTTCTCATGACTTCGTTGGTGATCTTCAAGCCGATCAATTAAGAAGATATATTGAAATTAAACAATCAGATTTGCCAAGTGCAGTTGCTGCCAAAAAAACTCGTGAGTTCCGCTGTCCTCCAAGAGAGCAAATGAATGCTGTATTGAGCTTTAAGAATTTAGAAGCTGACGATCAAGAAAATTGTACTTGTGGTTTAGAAATCCGAGGTTCTTTATACGACTTTCATGATGCTTTAATGAAAAAGGTATCTCTGAATGCTCTGCAAGAACCAGAAGAACCTGAAGCTACAGCAATTGAAGATACCAAACCTGGACCAATTACGAAAATTTATAATTTTATTAATCATGTAAAAGAACTTGAAGAGGGCCCAAAAGAAATCCCAGAGCCAGAAAAGAAAACTCCTGAAGAGGTCTTCCGGAAAGTTCTCATAAAAACTATAGTCAGTTGGGCCGAAGGTTCTCAAATTGAAACACCTAAATTGATTAGAGAAATGTTTAGTCTTCTTGTAAGGCAGTATGACACAGTCGGAGAACTAATTAGAGCATTGGAAAAAACATATGTAATAAACAGTGGAACGAGAAATGATGTCGCAGAAATGTGGATTGGTTTAAGTCAAATAAGAGCCTTACTCCCTGTGCAAATGAGTCAAGAAGAAGAAGAATTAATGAGAAAAAGACTTTGGAAACTCGTTAATAACCACACATTTTTCCAACATCCTGATTTAATTCGCATTCTAAGAGTTCACGAAAATGTAATGGATGTAATGATTAATACATTGAGTCGAAGAGCTCAAGCGCAAAGTGATGCTCCGGCTCAAGAAGCTGAAGGTGCGCCTGTGAAAGAAAAGGATACTTCACATGAAATGGTTGTCGGTTGCTGTCGATTCCTTTGCTACTTTTGTCGTACCAGTCGAGCAAATCAGAAAGCTATGTTTGACCATTTTGACTTTCTTTTGGACAATTCGAATATTTTACTTTCTCGTCCAAGCTTACGAGGTTCCACTCCATTAGATGTAGCGTATTCAAGTTTAATGGAAAACACAGAATTGGCCCTGGCTTTACGTGAACATTATCTAGAAAAAATCGCAGTTTATCTATCACGATGTGGTCTCCAAAGCAATTCAGAATTAGTCGAAAAAGGCTATCCAGATTTAGGTTGGGATCCTGTTGAAGGTGAACGTTATCTAGATTTTCTCAGGTTTTGTGTTTGGGTAAATGGTGAAAGTGTAGAAGAAAATGCAAACCTTGTCATTCGTCTTCTTATCCGTCGTCCAGAATGCTTAGGGCCCGCCTTAAGAGGAGAAGGGGAAGGTCTATTTCGGGCAATTGTTGATGCAAATAAAATGTCTGAACGAATTGCTGATCGACGTAAGCTGCAAGATGAAGCTGAAGGTACCATTGCCGGTTTGAATTTTTCGCATCCTCTACCAGAAAGTGATGAGGATGAAGATTACATTGATACTGGAGCGGCTATCTTAAATTTCTACTGTACATTGGTAGATCTCTTGGGAAGATGTGCTCCAGATGCATCCGTCATTGAACTGGGAAAGAATGAATCTCTTCGTGCACGAGCCATTTTGAGATCATTAGTTCCCTTAGAGGACCTTCAAGGAGTCCTGAGCTTACGTTTTACATTGTTACAAACGGCACCTGGCGAAGAAAAACCAAAATCTGACATGCCTTCTGGTTTAATACCAAACAACAAACAAAGTATTGTTTTATTTTTAGAACGTGTTTATGGCATCGAAGCGCAAGACCTATTTTATAAACTGCTAGAAGAAGCATTTTTACCTGATTTGCGCACAGCTACAATGTTGGATAAAAGTGATGGTTCTGAAAGTGATATGGCCCTTTCAATGAACCGCTATATTGGAAATTCTATTTTACCACTTTTAATTAAACATTCAAAATTTTATAATGAGGCTGAAAATTACGCCAGTTTACTAGATGCCACTTTACACACTGTGTACAGGTTGTCCAAGAACAGAATGCTGACAAAAGGACAAAGAGAAGCTGTATCAGATTTCCTTGTAACACTTACTGGAAGTATGCAACCTGCTATGTTGCTAAAACTTTTAAGAAAATTAACAGTTGATGTGTCAAAACTATCAGAATACACTACCGTTGCTTTAAGGGTAATAATGTAAACATAAAATTTATTTAACTTTAAAAAAATAATGCGTACTATTATTTGCAGCTTCTTACGCTACATTACGAACGTTGTGCCAAATATTACGGTTCCAGTCATGGTCAAGGAGCATACGGGGCATCGTCTGATGAAGAAAAACGTTTGACTATGATGTTGTTCTCAAACATTTTTGACTCTTTAAGCAATATGGACTACGATCCAGAACTTTTTGGAAAAGCTTTACCATGTCTAATTGCTATTGGATGTGCTTTACCTCCCGATTATAGTTTAACAAAAAATACTGATGAAGATTTTTACGGTCGTCAACCCGGTGATCCAGATCAAGCACAATATATCCCAATGCCTATCGATACAAATAATGTGAATTTAGATAATGATTTAAATAACATTGTACAAAAATTCAGTGAGCACTATCATGACGCTTGGGCGAGTAGAAAACTGGAAGCTGGTTGGACTTATGGTGACAGTTGGTCGGACAGTCAAAAGAGTCATCCAAGATTAAAACCATATAATATGCTGAATGAATATGTAAGTTATAATTTAAATTTCTCTCGAAAAACCAAGTTCAATGGATTTTAATTTGATATAGGAGAGAGAACGGTATAAAGAACCAGTTCGTGAAAGTTTAAAAGCTTTATTGGCAATAGGTTGGACTATAGAACACCAAGATATGGATCAGTCATTATCTCATCGGGGATCAACCCGAAGGCAATCAAAACCTCAAATTGTAAGTATGCATTCGCACCTCAACAGATATCCAGTGATTTACTGCAATGTCATGTAATTTTTATGTAATTTGAAAATTCCCTTTTTTTATTGTGTAATTATTAAACTACATAAAAACCAACTATATTACTAAACAAATACTTTCCGTTTTACAATTTCCCTTTTCAAAATTTTGCCCTGTACCAATTTAACGTCTATAACAATTTTCGAATCATAAACCTATACCCATTTGCGTGTATTTGGAAATATTGCATACGGTTGCTTCACAATCAGGGTGATAATTTTCAGAGTGATAGTGCCTTCAATTACAATCCTCATCCAGTTGATATGTCTAATCTAACATTAAGCAGAGAAATGCAAAATATGGCCGAGCGTTTAGCTGAAAACTCTCATGATATTTGGGCTAAAAAGAAAACTGAAGAGCTTACAAAATGTGGCGGTGTGATACATCCGCAGCTAGTTCCTTACGATTTATTAACAGACAAAGAAAAACGAAAAGATCGTGAACGTTCACAAGAATTCCTAAAATATCTTCAATATCAGGGATATAAGCTTCACAGGTATTTGTGAAATGACAAAATTTAAACAAAATTAATTATTTAATTTCTAGGCCATCAAAAGGAGGAGCAACAGAAGAAGGTGGTATTGCACAAGCACCACCTGAACTCCGATTCTCTTATTCGTTGTTAGAGAAATTAATAGCCTATTTAGATCGGGCCACCATCAACATGAAGATTTTGAAACCTTCATCAACATTTAGTCGGAGAACATCCTTTAAAACTGCATCCAGGGATATAAAATTCTTTTCCAAAGTTGTGCTGCCATTAATGGAAAAATATTTTTCAACTCATCGCAATTACTTCATAGCAATTGCTACTGCTACAAATAATGTAGGAGCTGCTTCGCTGAAAGAAAAAGAAATGGTTGCAGCTTTGTTTTGTAAATTGGCGGCATTACTAAGGAACCGATTAACGGCTTTCGGTCCTGATATAAGAATTACTGTGAGATGCTTACAGGTTTTAGTGAAAGGAATAGACGCAAAATCTTTAGTGAAAAACTGCCCAGAATTTATTCGAACATCTATGCTAACATTCTTTAATAACACTGCCGACGATTTAATCAATACCATCAATAACTTACAAGAAGGGAAATATAGTCATTTGAGGGGAACTCATCTCAAAACTTCAACTTCATTAGGATATGTTAATATGGTAATTCTGCCAGTACTAACGGCTATGTTTGATCATTTAGCCTCTTGCGATTACGGAAGTGATTTACTTTGTAAGAAACAGAAATACAAAAAAAAAATAAGATAAAATATATTCTTCTTATTCCAATTTTAGTGGATGAAATTCAAGTTGCCTCATATAAAATATTGGCGGCTTTGTATCAACTTGGAGTCGACCTATCATTAACTCATGAACGAAAATACTTGAAAACTGAAATCGAACGTCATAAGCCGGTTAGTTTAGTTTAATTTTAAAAAAGAACTTTTTAATATCAACTCAACAAAAATTTTATTTCAGAATCTAGGTTCATGTTTGGGTGCATTCAGTGCTTGTTTCCCTGTTGCTTTTCTAGAACCCCATTTAAACAAACATAACCAATACTCCCTCTTAAATCGTATTGCAGACCATTCTTTAGAAGCTCAAGATATAATGGTGAAAATGGAGACTGCCATGCCTAATTTAGAAACCATTCTCTCGGAGGTGGATCAATTTGTTGAGTCCGATAAAACATATAATGATGGTCCACACATAATTGATGTTATTCTACCCCTGCTATGTTCATATCTTCCATTCTGGTGGTCGCAGGGTCCGGATAACGTAAGTCCGACAAGTGGCAACCATGTTACAATGGTTACAGCTGATCATATGAATGGTCTGTTAAAGAACGTGTTGAAAATGATAAAAAAGAATATTGGTAATGAAAATGCTCCATGGATGACCCGTATTGCTGCGTATACCCAACAGATTATTATTAATAGCTCCGAAGAGCTTTTATTTGATCCTTTCTTACCACTTGCAGAACGTGTTAAAAAGCGTACAGAAAACATGTTTCACAAAGAAGAAAGCATGCGAGGTTTTATTAAATCAGCAACAGATGATACGTCACAAGTTGAAACTCAATTACAAGAAGATTGGAATTTACTTGTACGAGATATTTATTCATTCTATCCACTATTGATTAAATATGTTGATTTACAAAGAAACCATTGGCTCAAAGACAACGTAAAAGAAGCCGAAGAACTGTATAATTACATTGCTGAAATATTCAATATATGGTCAAAGAGTCAATATTTCTTAAAAGAAGAACAAAACTTTATTTCAGCCAATGAAATTGATAATATGGCTTTAATTATGCCAACAGCTACTAGAAGATCTGCAAACATAAGTGAAGGTGCACCTGTTGGTGGTGGTGGTAAAGTTAAAAAGAAGAAGAAAAGTCGAGACAAGAAACGTGATAAAGATAAAGAAGTTCAAGCTAGTTTAATGGTTGCTTGTCTTAAGCGTTTGCTACCAGTAGGATTAAATTTATTTGCTGGTCGTGAACAGGAACTTGTTCAACATTGTAAAGATCGTTACTTAAAAAAAATGGCCGAATATGAAGTTGTGGAATTCGCTCGTAATCAATTAACTTTACCTGACAAATTGGACCCTTCGGATGAAATGTCTTGGCAACATTATCTTTATTCAAAACTTGGGAAAAAAGAAGAAATTCTTGATGAAGCTCTTGTAGAAAAGAATTCAAACACGAATGAAAAAAAAGATAAAACTCAAGAGACTGTCGATCGTATAGTAGCTATGGCGAAAGTACTTTATGGTTTGCATATGGTAAGTATATAACTTTAAAATTGAATAAGAAGTTTTTTTTTTTACTTTTAAGAATAATTGGCAAGGAAAAAATTCAGAAGAAACAATCTATTCGGAAATATAGTCGAACTAACAGGAACAAATTAAGAACTCCAAGACATAATATTACCAATCAAAATATTATTCAAAATTAATTAATTTTTATAATTATATAATTAATATATAATTAATTATATAATTATAAAAAATTCCTACAGAATTATTTTTTATGAATGCTTATGTTAATAATCGTATTTAACTTTTGTAAAAAATTTGATATATTAAAATTGAAATTATTGTCGGTAAAAGACATTAAAATACTAAAAGCAAACAAAGAAGTTGAGGATTATCGAAGTCTGGTCAAGTTTTATTCTTAATTTATTATAAATAACGCACTCCCCTTGAACAATTTTCAGCTTTAAGTTTCAATTTAAAATTCGAAATGGAAAAATTATACAGAAATGTCATATTTTAAATTAATATACATAGAAACATTTTGTCAACAATGCCATTAGTAGAGAACAAAAAGACATATAAAAATAATTTTATTGAATTTTTGTAATCTAAAAGTGCATCACTAAACATGCTTAAAAATATATTTTAAAATGAAAAATATTAGACCAATTAAGCTGCAAAAGTTCGACTATATATACAAAAAATAAATTCCTTGCCAGCAGAATATCTTAATTTTTTTAATGCATTTGATCCGCTGTTGGTACCAGTTGTTCTACTATATCTTTGATTGTTTCTCTTCTCCTTATTCTAAATTGTGGTTTTTATTTTTTTTATTTTCTGATTTATTATTTTAATTTAAATTTTTATTTTATTATTTGTCTCTTATTTTAATTTATTTAATTTTTTTTTTTAAACTTTATTTGGGGAATTTTATTTAATTACTTTAGATCGACCATCCACAACAACAAAGTAAAAATGTCTACCGAAGTTGTGTATCAATTCAAAGGAAACGTGCTGTTATTGCTTGTTTCCGACAGGTGTCACTACACTCTCTTCCCAGGTTCAAAATAAATGATGAAAATTTTTTTAGTTTTATGTTTTCAGAGTTGATATAGTTTTCTTAATTTTAATAAATACAAAAAAAAAAACAAAAGATTACGTTTAACTTACGTGTTGGTTTGTGGGTTGTAATTAATTTTCAAAAATTTATTTTTTTCATTTTAATAAAAATAAAGAAATAAAAAATATTTTTTTTTTTTTGTTTCTTAAATTCTGTTTACATTTTTTAATTTGTCTTGCTAACAAAATTTCATTTTAAATTAACCAATTTAACATTCAAGAGTATTAATCGATACTAATCTTGTTTTTTGTCCAACTTTTTTTTTTGGCTTTTTTTTCGGCTTATTTTCATATTTTAGGCGACAGTTCGTCAACAAAAGAAAACAAACTGGAGAGGTGTACTGTCGATAGCTAGACGTCAGGCTGCTATTAATTGCTTGCGAGCTAAACATCTCTATAGAATGAGCAGGTTGTTTTAAAATCTATAACCTTTTTTTTTTATGATTGAACGATAATTTAAATTTCATTTCATGTTTTTTTTTTTATTTATTTATTGAATATTATTCATTATAGCGAAAACCAAATGTAAGATAAAGAAATAATGATAATTTATTTACTAAAAAAAAAATTATTTTATAAAATGTTGATAATAGCGAATGTTAATGTAATAACAATATTCAAATATCAAATTTACTGCTTTATCAAGGATAAAAAATTTCTATATATATAAAATGAAAAATCTAAGCATATACGAATTTATGTTTATATATAACAACACATAATATACATAGAGATATAATATATTAGCAGATAAACTTCTCTTTCTATATCTGTTCGAATTCTACTCTTTATAAAGTTACATAAATTTTTGCATTTTCATTAAAATAATCTAGTGTATTGTAAGTTTTATTTATCATTCAAGAAACATGCATGCTTATGTATGGTTTCTTATAATTTACTTATGGAATGTAAATCATTTAAATTTTTTTTTGAAACTCAATTACCGAGTTTAATAGCTAAATTAGCTTAAAAAATACTTTAGTTACGGTTCCAATTAAAATAAAGTATAATACATTTAAAAGATTCTCTTCTATTTTCTTTAACTATAAATATAAGACTTACTACTGGCGGAACTAAAAATTTTAATAATTTTATAACGATTTGAAAATAATCACGTTACATAGCTCCTGTATTCGTTTATGCGCTTACAGTACTATAGGTTCCTTTTAAGATTTATGTTCAAGTTATCATTCGTTTCTCATGATTAAATTATAATAAAATTTAAATTTTTTTTTTAATTTTCTTAATGCATTTCTTGATTTCAATAATTTTCTTTGAAAATATTGTTAACTTAATACTAGCTGAAGCTCCCTATCAGATTTAACTAATTATATTCTTATTAAGTTTTAATTAAAGTTATTTGTTATAAAACTTTTTTTTGCAAGTTTTGATGTTTCTAACTTTTGTTGTTTGAAAATTACTTATTGCATAATGAAACAAAAAAACTTAACATAAAATAACATGGTTTATTGTTTTTGTGTTTTCAAATTTTTTTAACACTCTAATTTTGTTACACCTATCAACTTTGACTAAGTTTCTTATAATTGTATCTTTCTTTGAAAAAAAATAAAAAATATTTAGGCATCGCGCTTGTAACATCTTTGCCCGTACATATTACGAATTATGGTTGCAGGAAGAAAATGTTGGTCAAGAAGTAATGATTGAAGATTTAACTCAATCCTTTGAGGATTCAGAAAAATCTAAAAAAGATCCGGAAGAAGAAGAAGGAAAACCGGATCCACTAACACAATTGGTAACAACTTTCTGTCGTGGCGCCATGACAGAAAGGAGCGGGGCATTACAAGAAGATTTACTTTATATGTCTTATGCTCAAATTGCTGCCAAATCGTGTGGTGAAGAAGAAGAAGAGGGCGGAGATGAAGAAGGCGGTGGAGGTGAAGAGGGTGCTGAAGAGGGTACAAGTATACATGTAAGTTTGTTTTGATTTTATCTATAACAACTTTATATATATAAATTTTAATTAATATATTATGTACTAACTAATGCTAATTATAAAATTAATGCTAACAAAAAAAGAAAATTAGAAGTAACATGGAAAAGTTAATGGTAAGGTCTTAGATAAATTTTGTCCTTCTTTGTACCGAAAACCTATTTATTTTTTAGTCAATCTCTTCTTTGCTAAACTTGTTATTTTTAATAACAAAATTTTTATACACAAATATGTATATTTTAGGAACAAGAAATGGAAAAACAAAAATTGCTTTTCCATCAAGCTCGATTAGCAAATCGTGGTGTGGCTGAAATGGTACTCTTACATATATCTGCATCGAAAGGTGTACCATCTGAAATGGTAATGACAACATTAAATTTAGGTATAGCAATTTTACGTGGTGGTAACATTGACATTCAAATGGGAATGTTGAATCATTTAAAAGAAAAAAAGGATGTTGGATTCTTTACCTCTATTGCTGGATTGATGAATTCATGTAGCGTTCTTGATCTTGATGCATTTGAAAGGAATACTAAAGCTGAGGGTAAGTTTTGAATAAAATGTATAAAGAAAAAGTCTGCTTTATTTGTAGAAACCCTTAAAAAGTAGAATATTGCTTTAACCCTAGCATGCTATAATCCTCTAGTTTTTTTTTTAACATTAATTACACACTTATATTTAAACGAAAGTAATTTAAATAATTTTCAGGATTGCAAGTTTTTAATGAAATTTTCAAAATGTGGGGCTTTTTGTCTAGGTTTTAATAATTTCGGTAGTTCAATAATAAAATCATAATTCAGCAAATTCGATAAATTTAATTTAGTTATATTATTGTTTTTCTTAATAAGACGTAAGTTAGTTCTACGGTACGTAATAACTCTCTTAATTAATTTAATCAATATTTATGAACACTGCATATTTTTAAAGTTTAATATAATTACGAAATCAGTTTCCAAGTGTAATAGCTTACATTTAAAACTGTTTACTAATATTTAGGCCTTTGCTGAGGTACATATTGAAATTCATAAGTTCTTTCACTTCTTCATAATTATACTACACTTTTATTCATTCACATTAGAAATGGATAATAATTTTTTTCAAATTCAAAATACAATGTTCTTATTAAAATAAAAAGTATTTTACAAACAACTATTTTAAAATTATGTAATCAGGTATTAAATTAGGTTTTTTGCTAAAATGTTTTAATTTTCTTATTAGAAAAACATTCTTCATCATATAGTTATATTATGACTATTAACATATTATAAAGTTTTTACATATTAAAACTTGCAATTTAAATGGAATACACGCGTATTCCATTTTTAGTTTTTTTGTTGTCTTGTAACTAAATTACAAAAATTGTCATACTAATTCCACATAAGGAATACTTTTCCTAACCTACGTAATAAAATAAAAATATATTTTGTCTATTATTAACAATTTCGCCTATTATCACTTTTTGTCGCTATATTATTAACAAGACGCTATATTTATAATAATGAAACATTTCTGAAGAATAATGTTAGACAAATTTATTTACATCAAAAAATAAATTTGCAAATTAAATAAATTAAGTATTAAAAATATTTAAAACTATTGTGTAAATTTACAAAAATTTTACAATTAAAAAATTAAAACTAAAGTTCTGTACTTTGGTAAATTTTCTCAACATACAACCAAACACCACCAACTGGCGATAATATAAAACTTTTTGGTGAAAATTTCAATGGTTCAATTGTTTTCTCCGACTTAGTAAATTTAAATCTACTCAAAAGTGATATCAATCCAATACTTGTTTGAAGTTTACCAAATCTTTTTCCAATACAATTTCTTGGACCATCACCAAATGGGATGTAAGTTAATGGTATTCTCTTCTGATTATTTTCAATTGAAAAACGATCTGGATCAAATTTTTCTGGATCAGGATAATACTGTGGATCATGATGAATTCCATAAATTGAAATTATAATATTTCGTCCTTTCTCAATAACATCATTTGTGTCATTTACTTTATAATCTTCTGCAACTTTACGTTGAAGTGTTGTAGCTGGTGGATATTTGCGAAGTGTTTCTAAAATAAAAATAAACAATAGTTAATTTTAGAATACTTTTAAATGTACGTTTAAATACATATATTAGTTACGAATTTATATAAAATAGGTATAAATTATTTAAATATTTTTACATTGAAAATTTAAGTATGTAAAATAATAATAAGTATATATACGTATGTATGAATTGTATATTCTGAAAAAAATATGCGTATGTAATACCATATGGTTAAAGTAAAATAATAATGTTGTTTACCAACAAAAGCTTTTAATAGTCTATTATTATTATTGCTATTTATATTAATATGCATAGAATTCTAATGAATCAACAAGTACTAAACTTTTTACTTAAATTTTTTCGAATATATTAGTTTTAATCGAATTATAAAATTAAATAAAAAGCTTAAAGATATCTAGATATGTAAACAATGTATAAAAACTTCAAGAATATTTTAAAATCATTGAAATGCAAAATTTGCGATGAATTTCAATGAGTCATAATATTAAAAAGACCGGTTTTTTTTTCAGTTTAAAATATCTACGTATATCGATAAGTATATGTATATTGTGTATAAAAAGCTTTCGTGCTGTATAAATGTGCTCCCTAAAATAGTACTATGTATAACCATATGGGGCTCTTTAACAATTAATAAATATTTACAATGTGAAATAACACCAAAATGAATCAGAAAATAAATTAGTTTCGTATATGAATCGAATTTTTTATAACTTTAAGAGTAATACATAACATACAATATAATTTTGAATATTTTGAATTATTTATTTTACATATTTGTATTTATAAAAATGGTTGAAAAAATTTACGTGGAAAAAATTAAATAAAATATACTTTGTACGATTCATATCCAATTAATTTCATGTACAATAACGCTTCAACTATTTATTATCAGTATTTTATCGCCTTAAAAATTATTTGTTGATATCAGAAAATAATATTTATTAGCATAATACATTAATATAATAGACGTAATATGAAAGACATATTATACGTAATATATTTTTGCTAGAATTAAAATTATTTATAGAAATACAAAATAATATAAATGGAAATAAAATTAAATTTCTCATATACCATCAATTATTTGTTGAACATAAATCATTTCCGTAACAGCATCATATGTTAAAATATTATGATATTTTTCTAAAACTCTTGTTATTTCCGATCTAGCTTTACATTGTATATCTTCATTTAATGCTAATTCATATAAACAAAATGATAATGTTATTGATGATGTTTCATATCCAGCTAAAAAGAATATGTATGCTTGAGCTGCAATTTCTTCAAATGTAATACGTTCATCTTCATTATCAGAATTTTTTAAACTTATCATTATATCAAGGAAATCATTTCTTCGAACATCATTTCTTTCTCTAAAACCAATTGTTTCTTTTAATGCACCCATAAAAAATTCACTAACATCATCATGTTCTGTTTTTATATGTAATTTTCTTGCAAAATTAGGAAATTGACTTGATAATAATCTTAATGGTACAGTCATTCTTGGTTTTTCTAATGATTTTTTTCCAATCATACGAAATTTTGCTTTTGGATCTTTTAAACTATTACAATCAATACCGAATGCACAAGTACCAATTACATCTGTTGTATAACGTGCTGATAATTGTTTCATTTCTAAAAGAGTTTTTTTACTTGGTATACTCTCATTCCATAGCATACTTTCTAATGTATCACCAAATCGTTCACCAATAGTAGCAATTGTTGGAAACATAAATTTCATTTTACCAGATGTAAATGTTGGTGTCATTTTTGTACGTAATTTTTTCCATTTAACACCTTCAATACTAAATAAATGTGCTGACAATGGATCATCATTTTCATTATAATATACATTACGATCCGTAAAATATTGAAAATCTTTAATTAATATTGTTTTTATGAAATCAATATCTATAGCTAAAAGACTAGGTGTAAAGAATGCAAATATTCCAACATATGGATAATTTATTTCTTTTCCTTCTTTATATAATTCATATAAACGAATACCAATTGTTTTTGTTCTACCAGCATCCTTTAAATTTCCAATAGGTACAATTGGTTTTATATAAGGAATTCGTTTTCTTTTCCAATATGTAAAACGATATTTAAACCATAAATAAATTAAAAATAGAAATGATAACACTACAATAATAATAATATCAAAAACCATTATAATATTATTTTTCACAATAATATAACCGAACTTAATAATAATATATGTACGTCTTAACCTAACGAAAGACAAAGTAAAACTAAATTATTCTCACAATTTTATTTTTCTCTTACTCAATTTTAAGTTACCTTACACTTAACTACTTAAACTAATTATTATAAAAAAATAACATATATAATATACTTCAGTATAACATTATATAATCTATATCTATAAAAAATAATAATAAAAATGAAGAGAGTAAAAAATTTTGTTCGAGTAGTAATAATTATTACAAAAATACTCGAATTTCTCAAAGCAATGTCAGTTAATAAAAATAGAAAAATATTAAAGATTGGTGAAAATTTTTATACGAGTATGTTTTTTAAATAAATTATTAAATTGTAAATGTTCTTAATCATCAATCCGATGATGATGTTTGTTATTATACATACTTACTATATATACTAAACATCATTCATGCATCATAACCTTAATCATTCTTATTTCATAAATACCTAATTACATAATTTTATAAATTGAAAAATATTCAGCTACCTCCTAAATTTATGCCCTTGAATTGTTAAATTTTTCTTATTAATTTTTAATTGTTCTTTTTTCTTTTTTTGGAGAAAAATTACATTAATTTAATTATATTTATAATTTGTTTATTTATTTAAAAAATTGATTTTAAACAATTTTGATTTATTGTTAGAAAATTCCATTTTATAAATGATACAATATAAAAAATACATTAACATTTATGTAGGTATACATATTCATATATGTACATGAAATGTGTGTGATCACCTGTTTCGTATAATTATTTATTACAAAAATTTCAATATAATAATAGAAAATTCAAAAATTCGAATAATGTACGAATGAATTTATTTGCTTTTATTTTTAATATTATTTGCTAAATGAATTTTATTTATATTAAAAGGAATATTTTTCTATACTTAGATGATATTTTGTTTTGATTTGAGAATTCTTTGCTATTTTCACTTAAAAACCTATAAAAAATATAAATCAGAAAATATAAATCAAAAAGAATTTTTCTGATCTAAATTAATTACTAACTAAAAAATATAAAAAAACGTGTTACGTAGATGTAATTTGAATTTAAAATATAAAATAATTTTAAAGGGTTGAAAAAAAAGAGGTTACCATTGCCTGACAAATAATTGCCAATATTATAATTAAATTATTTGTCAGTCATGCTCTAAAGTATTTCTGACTCTGAATATTGCATTTTATTTTTTCATAATTAACCCCTAAGTAAACAACCGCGCAAAATTTAGTAATACTTTCATGTTTCAAAGTAGTGTAACGAAATTATTCTAAAAGTAGACATTGACCTAAAATTGTCATCATTTATAATTGTGGTTAGCGTTGATTATTAGAATGACAGAAAGAGATATATGAATTAGAGGATATTAAAATATTTACAAAATTTATATTTTATTAAAAGTTTTTTAATAATATATTCGATTCGATGTAAATAGCTACTTGATGAAATTTAATTTTTGCAGTTGTTACTCAAAAACTCATATACACATATTATATAAAATTATTATATAAAATATCTAAATAACAATATAAAAATATCAAATTACCCCCCCGCAAATTTCAAAAAATATCCCTTAAAAATTTTTATACACTTATAATTTACTATCCTTTTTTTTTTTCGTTTAATTTTTATAATTTATAACTCATAAAACTTTATAAATGTAAAAGTAATATTTGGGTGTTTTTTCAGAATCACTAAATGATGGTTAGTAAATTTAATAAAGTAAATTATGTATGAATTGTACATTAAAAGGTATGCAACAATATTGTTTCATTCCAAAATAATTCTATGAGATGCAAGACCCGAAACCACCAATCAAATTTTTGGTTTTTTATTTTTTTTTATTGTTGTGATTCAAAATCAATATCAAATACAAATTCAATGTAGGCATTATGATACAATAAAATTGAAATTTAACCGAACTTTAATGGTTAAAAAATATTTTATTTAATTGTGACTAACTCAATATTTTTGAAAGGAATTTTTTTATTGTTTATTTCAAATATACACAAATGTATATTTCTTTTTTCAATATATACAATTCTTCTCTATTTTATATTATACCCAATATTATATTAAATTGTAACTAACATCTTATTATATTAAAATTATTCTGTATCTAATATAAATTGAAAAAAAAATGGACCAAAAAAATTTTATTATTTCTCTTCTGTTAGTGTTAAATTATATATTTAAATAATTTTTTTAAAAAAAAATTTAAATAATCTTACAATTTAATATTCTTATATATATTTATAAATTATTCTGCAAAATAAAAAATTATTGAAGAACATTTTCTAATAAGGTCACAATAGCATTATGAATTTGAGTCAAACAAAGAAAAATGTATAAAGATTTAAAAATATCAAACCTGCGAGATACATACTTGCACAAATAAACTTAACATTTCATAGGAATTCATTTGGAAAATCCTAAAAATAACTTAGTTAATATGAGGGAATATACAGATGAGTATTAAATTGATATATTTTAATAATAATTTCCAGAAATGAATATTTTATTCATTTACTTTAATTAAACTATTTATATATGTATATATTTGGTTGCAATAAACCAAAGAAACTACAATAATTATAATAAATGTTCTAATATTATTTGTATATTCTTATATAACACTTATTTTTCGTTATTATTTTGTTCTCATATAAAATTTTTGATCCACACAAAATTTGTACAAATCTTTTATATATATCACTGTTTATACAAATAGAATTATTACGTCAATTTCAATAAAATTTATTTCTTAGAATACATATTAGATTTCACTTGTTGAAGCATAAATTATTTTTAGTTTAAAAGTTAAAAGTCCTTAATATTATGTCTATAAATAATATGGGTATATTCTATAGGTCTACATAATATTATATTGAATTATTTTATATATACATCTACATATGTATAATACAAATAACTTTTCAGCTTTTTATTAAAAATATGAGTCATAAAATTTCTCTTCCTTTAAAATATTCATTTTTACTTAGTTCCAGTATGTATTTTATAGACTAGAGGATAATAAATAAAACATTAAAAACTTCTCTTTTTGTTTTCACTGAATATTTCGTATGTATACGTACGTCTTAATGACCAACTCATAATATGGAAGTCATAATAATACTTAAATTAATAAGGATACGTTTATATTTACCTAATATTATATAGACCCTTATTTACACATACATTCGATTTAAATTGTTGGTCAACATGTTTGAAAGCTTTACATTTCCCTACTTTCTTATCATTTTTTATACAATTTAAATTTTCTCTCTTCATTTGATTTTAGTTCTAAGAGAATGTTAAGTAGAGGGTGAAATTTTATAATTGTGGACCATTGTAAAATAGCGACGAAATATTAAATGATATACGAGTATTAAACAGAATTATTATAACTATAGTGTTTTTAAAATTTTTTTTTCAATTTGAAGAGCGGTAACGTTATACATATTAAAAATTACAATGTAAATTACCTTTGCATTCAATTGGTGGCATTCAGTTTCTATTTTTATATTAAAACATTATGTCTAATTCAAATATTAATGACAATCTATACACATAATATGATTATACGATTATATACGTTGAACAATGTGAATATTATACGAATGAAATTGATTCTTAAATTTCTAATTCATACTGCATATACTGTAAAATTTCATTTTTTATCCAATTTGTAGGTGATTCTTATATAGGCGGGTACAATGCTTTATTCATTAATTTATAGACTATCATTTTCAATTGTTTACCTCTGAATTCATTTATAGCTCCTAAAAATTAATTTATAGGATAGTAAAATTGCAATTCTGAAAATTGTATAGAAATGTACTTACGCCATTTTTTTATTTTTCTTTATTTTAAGCAATATTAAATTGTGTGTAAAATTAATTTTGTTCACAATTAATTATTCATTTATAATTTTTTATTTAACAAAAACATCATTTCCAAAATCATATAACATTCAATTATCCTTGTATTGCAAGAAGCTTAACATTATTTTTTTTGTGTAAATTTGGTGCTTTAAATTTTATTTTAATTTCCAATTTTCATTGATTTTATTTTTATTAATTTTTTGCCATAATGTGTTCTTGTTTTTAGTCCACTTTCCATTATTTTTTTTCTTTCAATTAATTTTCTTTATCTTTTTATTTATTTATTTTATTTTTTTTTGTTTTGCTCCTTTATTTATTTGTTTAATTTTCATCAAAATCCAAAACTTTTTGGTTGTTCCCCTATTATTTGTTCCCCTATTATCCATATACACACAAACAAAACAATTTATATGACAAAATCATTAAATAAAAATTCGAAAAACAATTTTGTGATCAATCCCAATTTCACGAAAAAAAAAATGATTTTTTATATATCCTCCATTTTTAAAATATATTATATTATATATACATCCATATATATAACCACATTTATTTAAATTTCGATAATTAAATGAATGAATATCATTCGACATAATTTCCATATGTAATATTTCTTTGGAATGTTTTGTGTGGTTTTGCATTAAATCCTTAAAATATGTTTTATTTTTATTTTATTTATTTTATGTACATATATATTATACATATATATATTATATACAAAAAAAACATCTATGTATATGTATATACATATGTATGGAATTCCTTCTATAAATTTTTGTATCCCTTGATATTCCTTTAAATATCCTATAAATGTATAAAAAAAAAAAATATAAAATATTATGGAACAAAAACCAAAAAAAGAATATATTCCATCGGGTTCAGGTCTAGGTGTTGGTTCAGAAGGAGCTGCTGGTGAAAAGAATATGCATGATGCTGAATTTACATGTGCTTTATTCCGATTCATTCAATTGACCTGTGAAGGTCACAATTTAGGTAAATAGACATAAAAATAAATAGTAAACAAATAAATTTTAACTGAACAGGTTGTTCAGCTTGATTACTTTTTAACACAAATTTTGAAAAATGCTTTTCATACTCGTAATTGTTATTTTAACTTTCAATGTTATTTTTTAGATTGGCAAAATTATTTGAGAACACAAGCTGGTAATACTACGACTGTAAATGTTGTTATTTGTACTGTTGATTATTTGTTGCGTCTTCAAGAATCCATTATGGATTTTTATTGGCATTATTCAAGTAAGGAAATTATTGATCCAGCTGGTAAAGCAAATTTCTTTAAAGCTATCGGTGTTGCAAGTCAAGTTTTCAACACACTAACTGAAGTTATTCAAGGTCCTTGTACATTAAATCAGCAAGCATTAGCCCATTCCAGATTATGGGATGCTGTTGGTGGTTTCTTGTTCCTTTTCTCTCATATGCAAGAGAAATTATCAAAACATGCAAGTCAAGTTGATTTACTAAAAGAATTGTTGAATTTACAAAAGGATATGATCACCATGATGTTATCCATGTTGGAAGGAAATATTGTAAACGGTATACTATAGCATATTATATTACAATAAATATTTTATAACGAATTATAAAAATAATTTTAATTAATTATATAATTATTAATTTAATTTATCAAACAGGTACCATTGGTAAACAGATGGTTGACACTTTAGTTGAATCAGCACAAAACGTTGAATTAATTTTAAAATATTTTGATCAATTTTTAAAATTAAAAGATTTAATAGAATCAGCCAGTTTTCAAGAAATCGACCCGAATAGTGAAGGTTGGGTAACACCAAAAGATTTCAGAGAGAAAATGGAACAACAAAAAACTTATACAGTGTAAGTATTTGCTTGGACAAATAAAGGAATATTTATAATTAATGCTTTACTTTTATTGTTTTTAGTGAAGAAATGGATTTCCTTTTAGCATGCTGTGAACGTAATCATGAAGGAAAAATTGATTATGCTGCTTTTGTAGACCGTTTTCATGAACCATCTAAAGAAATCGGTTTTAATTTAGCTGTTTTGTTAACAAATTTAAGTGAACACATGCCAAATGAACCAAGATTGGCACGGTTCTTAGAAACAGCTGGCTCAGTACTTAATTATTTTGAGCCATTTTTAGGTCGTATTGAAATTTTAGGAAGCTCAAAAAAAATTGAAAGAGTTTACTTTGAAATTAAAGATACTAATATAGAACAATGGGAAAAACCTCAAATTCGTGAATCAAAACGTGCCTTCTTCTACTCAATTGTAACAGAAGGTGGTGACAAAGAAAAACTTGAAGCTTTTGTTAACTTCTGTGAAGATGCAATTTTTGAAATGCAACATGCTTCTGGTTTAATGGCAACAGATGATGGTGGTAGTAATGTTAAACGTGATAGCGGATATAGTTCATATATGAGTGAAGAAGATGAAGAACGTGCTGCAAAAGATCCAATTCGTAGAACAATTCAAGGAATTAAAGATGGTGCTAAAAATTTAGTGTTTATGTTAAGTCCAGCCAACATTAAACATCAAATTGGTGTTATGCAAACTAAAACTGTTCCGGAATTGATTGTAGGATTCTTTAAAATGATCTTCTATTGTTTCTATTACACTGGTTATGCGAATCTGATGATTTTGAAATATATATTTGGAATTATATTAAATTTAATGCGTGGACCAGCTAGTGAAGAAGTTGAAGAGCCACCAGTAGAGGAAGATAAATTTGCATCATTAGCATTGCCGCCATTACCGCAGGAAGAGCCGCCGGGTACGATACAGGCTTTTGGAATGGATATTAATAAAGAAGAAAATGGACAATATAAAGTTGCGATACATGAATCCCCTGGCCTATCTCCGTCATCTTCCGTTGAAGAAACTGGTGAAAGTTCTCCAGAAGATGGGGCTGCAGTTACCGCACAAGGAGAAATTTTAGTTGAAGGTGGGGAACCGAAAGAGCCGCCAATGACTTTAGTTGATTTATTAGGCGGAGATGCCGCAAAACGTGCTGCTCAAGAAAGACAAGAAGCACAAAAAGCACAAGAAGCAGCAATGGCATCAATTGAAGCTGAAGCCAAGAAAACAGCAACACAACCAGCTGAGCCTTCAGCTGTTAGCCAAATTGATTTTTCAGGTTATGCCCGAAAGGTTGTAAGTCTTTTAGCTAGAAACTTTTACACGTTAAAATATGTTGCTTTAGTGTTAGCTTTTAGTATCAATTTTATGTTACTCTTCTACAAAGTTACAACACTTGGAGAAGATGATGATGGCGATGAAGAAGATTTACTTTTAGGAGGATCAGGTTCTGGGGCTGGTTTAGGTTCTGGTTTAGGCTCGGGAGAGGGTTCTGGTGAAGGGGAGGAAGATGATTTTTCGAATGAACAGGTTGAGGTTGATGAGAACTATTATTATATGGAACATGTACTTAGAGTGTCAGCGGTACTACACAGTATAGTTTCTTTGGCTATGCTAATTGCTTATTATCACCTTAAAGTACCATTAGCTATCTTCAAAAGGGAAAAAGAAATTGCACGTCGTCTTGAATTCGATGGGTTATTTATCGCAGAGCAACCGGAAGACGATGACTTTAAGTCTCATTGGGATAAATTGGTAATATCGGCGAAATCATTTCCGGTTAATTATTGGGATAAATTTATTAAGAAAAAAGTTAGACAAAAATATAGTGAAACATATGATTTTGACTCAATATCAAATCTTTTGGGTATGGAAAAAAATGCTTTTGCGGCACAAGAGGAAGGTGCTGAGTCTGGTGGTGTAATTAAATATATTCTCAATATTGATTGGAGGTATCAAATTTGGAAAGCGGGTGTAACAATTACTGATAATGCTTTCTTATATTCATTATGGTATTTTACATTTTCGGTTATGGGTAATTTCAATAATTTCTTCTTTGCTGCACATTTACTTGATGTTGCTGTTGGTTTTAAAACACTAAGAACTATTTTGCAATCAGTAACTCATAACGGAAAGCAATTAGTTTTGACTGTAATGTTGTTAACTATTGTTGTATATATTTATACTGTTGTGGCATTCAATTTCTTCCGTAAATTTTACATACAAGAAGAGGACGATGAAGTTGATAAAAAATGTCATGATATGGCAACATGCTTTATATTCCATTTATATAAAGGTGTAAGAGCTGGTGGTGGTATAGGTGATGAAATTGGTGATCCTGTCGGTGACGAATACGAAGTATATCGTATTATTTTCGATATAACATTCTTCTTCTTTGTTATTGTTATTCTATTGGCCATTATTCAAGGTTTGATCATTGATGCTTTCGGTGAGCTTCGTGATCAATTGCAATCTGTACAAGATAATATGGAATCATTTTGCTTTATATGTGGTATAGCTAAGGACTATCTGGATGCGGTACCGCACGGATTTGATACGCATGTTCAAAAAGAGCATAATCTGGCAAATTATATGTTCTTTTTAATGCATTTAATTAATAAACCGGACACAGAATATACTGGTCAAGAAACATATGTGTGGAATATGTATCAGCAAAGGTGTTGGGACTTCTTCCCTGTCGGTGATTGCTTCCGTAAACAATATGAAGATGAGTTAGGAGGTGGTGGCGGAGGTGGTGGAGGTGGAGGAGGTTAAAGATTTTTTTTTTTCTTCTTTAATCTCCTCTCGGTTTGAGCTAGGGAAATTATTATAACATTTAAATGGAAAGACATTTTTAGGGAAAAATTTAACAAATTTAGCAGAACATGATCAAATAAATTTATTATTTTTTTTTTTAAATTTTAAAATAAAAAAAAAATTAGTTATGTGAAATATCATAAAGAAGAATTTTAGTCAGTCTTTTTTCAATAATAATCAAATATTTGCAATATATAGGAAAAATACTAAATATACACACACAAGACCCTTACAGAACCAAACTATCAGAGGAACAAAAAAAAAATATTATATTTCATTAATATTTTAAGTCCTACCATAACTACAAAAACAGCAAATATTTTATAATGAAAGGAAAATATTTTCGTTTATTAAGATTTAGGTAACATTTTTTATTAAATCATGAACCTGATCATTTGCAATTTTGCTTCTTCTCATAAATTTTACTATTTGAAATATAATTTACGAAAATTAAAACATTAAAAAGCATTAAAAAATACGAATTATTTATCTTTTTAAAAAAGAGAGAATTAAAAAAAATCAGTCATTAACTGACTTATAAATTTAATTTATATACGAATATAAAATAATTATATGATGCGATTTAAATAATTTAAATAATAAAAAAAAAATTAATAGAATTTTTAAAAAAATATCCAAATTTAAATATTAAAAAATTTATTGAAAAAAATTGTCTTCTTTAAATAAAATTATAGAAATTTAATTCAAATAAAATAATAATTTTAATTCCAATTGATTAAATATTTAAATCATATTATAATCTTTGTGCTTCATCTCTAAATTAATTCAATTTTATTCAATTCTATTCGAAATATTTCATATTATTAATCACGTAGAGTCCAAAGTAAGACAAAACAAAAAGAAGATGAAAATTTTTTTAATAATAATATGATAACTAAGTAAATTTAATAAAAATAAAGAGAAAGTAACTTATAAATTATAATTATAATTAATAAACTCAAATCTAAATTTGAAAATTTAGTTTTCCATTTTTTATTTTCCATAAAAAAAAAAAATTTCTAATTTCTCAATTTTATTCTGGCTAACCGTTCTTAACTGTTCCTTTTATAGCTGCTACAACATTATATTTCCTTTTTTATATAAGCAAAAAGGATTTGTTTTCAAAATCTTTTATTTTATAAATCTACATTATATAATTATTATTATTAATACAACAGACAATTATAATGTAAATAGAAAAACTAAATTAGAAATTATTATATAAAAAAAAAATATACTTAAAAAAAAAATCATAAAAAGTAATTTTAATTATTACTTTCTCATAAAATAAAATTATACAAAAATTTTTACAAAATAAAAAAAAAAAAAAAGAAAAAAATATTATAATAAACAATCTATTCAAGGCCTTTTTAAAGATATTTAAAAACTTTGTAAAATTATATAAAGTAAAAATAAATTTTTATTATACAATATATTTGAAAAATTTAAAGTAAAAATAAGAGAAAATTTAAATTAAAATGAAAATGAAAAAATCATATTATTTTGATAATTTAAAATTTAACTAAGAATATTATAATATTATTTTGTAAAAGAGAAAAACTTTTTTAAATACATAACATAACTTTATGTATTAAAGATTAGAACACTGTTACTACAATTGTTTATTTTTTTTTTTTTTTTAGTATAAAAACGTTTTAAAATTTTCAATTTCAAAAATATGTTTTATAGAAGAAAATATTATGAAAATTGTAAAAAAAAAAATTAATTAACAATAAATTAAGAAATATCTTTTGTCTTTTAAAATTTTCAAGTGAGCTTATTTTTGTTTCATTATATTTATTTTCAAAAAAATGTTTGTGCCCAAAATGATGTGACCATGCTACTTAAAATTATGTTTGAAAAAATTCAAATTCAATTCAAAAAATTTTGCTCAAGAAATTGCTATTTATTTAAGAGTAAGATTTTACATACGCATAAGTATCGAAAGAATGAGTTTTGGTCAAAATAAATATGCAATTATATAAATCAACTTTCTTTCGTTTACGCTTTTAATCAAGTCTTTCCTTCCTTTACCTTTATAACAAACTGTGCATTACTTATGCAGTTCCGTAATATTCGAAAGAATATCGAAATTTTATAAACATCCATACATATATCTTTATTCATGCACTCAATATAGCCTTATTTCTATGTTAAATTATATTATTTTATTTTATTTAATCATTATGTTTTTATATGAATATAAAATAAAACTGAATTAATATGTGCAATATTTTTGTATAATTCGATATTTAGCTACTTAATTTCTAAAATAAATTTGAAAATAACTACAATATAAATTTTTAATATAAAAAAAAACAAAAAATCTTACGAAAATTTTAAACTAAATTATTTTTTTTAAATATTTGTTAATTGAATAGGATTCATCTGGCAAGGTTTCCTCATCAATAAGGTTATCATCATCATTCTCATTTAATGTTTGGTTTATAGAATTTTCCTGATTATCCTCCATTCCGTCAATTAAATGTTCTTCTTCTAAAATTATTTCGTCTATCTCATCACTATCATCTTTTAATATTACTCGACTATCCATAACCATTTTATAATCGCTATCTTCTTTTATTATTTGAATTTCACCATTTTCTAAATCATTAATACTCGTTTCCAACGTTTGTTTTATACGTGGCTGATTTACAACTATGGTGTCGTTAATATGACCAACTGATTGCATATGATTATATAATAAAGGTTTTCTCATAAAACCTTGTCCACAAGTTAAACACTCATATGGTTTCTTGTCGCTATGAATAAATCGGTGAGCATTTCGATTATCTCTTGAATTGAAAGATTTTCCACACACTTCACATGAATATGGTTTAACACCAGAATGGATTCGTAAATGCTAAAATAAATTATTAAATTATGAATAGCTTATTTTTATGACAAATCAACAAACTTTTTTATAATGTTCTGGATAAACAAAAGTAGAATGACAAGAATCGCATTTGTATGGTCTTTCTCCAGTGTGAGCGGCCTGTATATGATAATCCAATAACCTACAAAGAAGTATTTTATTCAAGTACATAAATCATCAATAAATAATTAAGAATACCTTCTTCTCTTAAAACTCTTCCCGCAAGTATCACATTTATGTCTACAAATAGAAAGAGATTATTTTAAAAATAATTAATATTAAGGTACATATATATGTATGTATCTGGATCATTTAAATTTCAGTCATATACGTATGCATCCTTACTTTTTCTCATTAAAATGTGTTGACTTTTTGTGCGTTGATAAATTTGATCTTTGGGCAAACTTCATTCCACATATATCACATTCAAAAGGCTAAAACCAATTTCAGTTAAAAAAAAAACAATTATTGCCTGTTTTAATAATTTGCAAACCCTTTCTCCAGTATGTGTTCTCTCATGATCCGTTATTTCTGTTCTCCTGGCAAAAGATTTTCCACAAGTTCTACACAAGAATGGCTTATGACCAGTATGAACAATTTTGTGTATTTCTAAATTATGTTGGGTAGCAAAACTTTTTTCACAAATATCACAAGAAAACTCTTTGACACTGGAATGTGTTTTGCTATGCTGTACGAGATTTGCTGCAGTAAAAAATGATTTATTACATTTATTGCATGAATATGGTCTTTCCCTTTCAGCATGAATTTTCATATGAGAATTCAAAGCGTATTTAGCAGTAAAATTTTTCCCACACACATAACATTTAAAAGGCCTAATTCCACTATGAACATTCAAATGTTCATCCAATAGTTTCTTTGATAAAAATTTCTTCTTACAAATTGAACATTGCAATGAATATGAGTGAATTTTTTTGTGTGTTCGGCAGTTCTTTAAATTATCAAATTTCTGGAAACATACTTCACATTCATATTCACCACATTTTCCACTTTTCCCATGCTCAAGAAGATCTGCTTTTTTAGAAAATCCGCCGCCACAACAATTGCACACAAATAACAGAACGTCATGCTTTTCTTTTAAGTGAACTGCTATACTCTTATTGTCAAAACTTTCAGCCAAATTAGTTTCACTTTCACTATCATTATCTCCACATATTAAACAAAAAAATTTCTCGCCATCGAATGCAAATGATGGTCTCGCATCTTCAGTTGTTACAGATTTTGGTTTCTGATGTAATTCAAGATCAAAACTTGTGAAATCGCTAGACTTTAAAGATGCATTATCTGCAAAAAAAAAAACAAGTTTTCGTTTTGTTGATAATATAAAGTAAATATGAAGAAATTTATAACCATCTGTTATGAATTGTAAAGACTGCGAATCTCCCCCATCATCTAATGTATTTTCGTCTGCAGTAAATTGATTTTGTTCAACAATTCTTTCAAAATGTGCATCTTAATTGAAAAATTTTATCTTAAATAAAAAATAAGTAGGTATAAGTAAGGAAAAATACCTTCATTCTCTGAATTTTTATTTTCCATAACATTTAAATGTTCATCATTGTTCTGATTTTCCTCTATCTCGTTAACTAAGCCATTTTCGAATTTTGAAAGATCACTTTTACAATTTTCTTGTAATTCAATAAAATTTTCTTTGATATCATCTTTAGAACTAACAGCTACAAAACCATTGTCCATTAAATATTCATAAATAACATTTTTATCTAATGCAGTCAATTCTATTTTTGATGATTCTGTTTCGGTGGTTTCATTGTCATCGTTAATTATAACTTGGTCATCATTACCATCATTCACTTCATACAAAATAGTATCTTCATATTTGCTTACCACATCATTGTAATCTTTTATTAATTTAAATTTCAATTGTATGTATCGTTGTTCAATTAGCTCGTATTCTAAAATTATTTCATTACAATTGTGGCATAAAACTTTTGAATGAGCACTAGATTCATTTATATCAACTCCAACTGCTGAACTCAATACAGTTGCCATTGGAACATCGTCCTCTTCATTTTCTGCTAATCTTTTCGCGAATAATAAATAAGATTCGTCACCAACCATAAAATTTTTATCGCATAAAAAACATTTTATTGGTGCAACTTGAGTTCCTAAAAAAATCATTTATTTATAAATTTTAGTATTTTCAGATCAAAATAAAGTGGCCACTTTGTTTTGTGTTTGTTTACATACCAGCAAATTTGATTGATTCATTCAGGTTTTCACAAATTTCCATTTTTTAAATATATTTAAATTTTTAAATTTTATTTTGAATTTGTATTAATAATAGTATTTATCACGGTAAATTTATTACCAACTTTTCAAAATTTCATTAATATGTATATCAATATGAACAACTTCTGTACATTTTTATTAAATTGACACCAACAGGCCCACAATGCTGACAAGCAACAAACCCAAATATCCAAGTTTATTTGCTACCAACCTTGTTGATTGCAATTCCTTTAAATTAATTTTATTCTTAATTAAAATAAATAATGGAAGAAAAATTTCTAATATTTTTAAATCCAATTTAATTAAAATTTGCAATAAATACTTTTAAAATATTAGAATAAAATTACATGGCGCGTCATTTTTCCTAATGAAAAAAAAAAATATAATTTTTAATTGTCATTAACAGCATTACCACTACGAAAATGTCATTAAATTAAATTATTGCCGGTTTGTGTCTCAGAAATTTTTTTATCTTTAACTACGGCTGTATTTCAATAAATAAAATGGCTCTGTAATCGTTAAATGTACAAATTGAATTAGGCCAAAAATTTGTGCCATCTATGAGAAAAACTTCAATTTTAGAACAAAAAAGTAAAATTACTGAAAGTTATTCCAACAATAGATGCCGCTGAAAATAATAATAAAGTGAATTTGAAAAATATTTTTAATATGTTAAAAATTATAAAAAGTAATGTAATAAATAAAATAGTAAAGAGCTATGAAAGTGATAAAATATCACAAATGAATCTACTCATTTTATACATAAAAAAATTTACCACTAAAACAATTTTTTACAATAAATTAGATAATTAATTGTTTTATACTAATAAAATGTTATTTTTTTTTTATTTAAATTTTCATTTTAAACATTTACTTCGCATTTTGTAAATCTTTTGAGTAAACTGCCTCTCTTAATTACCAGTCTAATTATGGTTTAATTCACTCTATGGGCAAAAATTTAAAACAAACGATTATTTTAAACACAAACCAACACAATAGATATTTGATTCGTGTCTATAATAATTATTTTAAAATTAGTAAAATAGTGTCACTTTAACTAACATGACACTTATTGTAAAGTATCATGTTAGTTCTTTAAATAGTAGATAACGTAATAAGCAGTGACGCGCTTTTATAAAATTAAATTATTATAACCGTAACAAAAATGTACTGATCGAAAATGGAAACATGAATACGAAAAAATAAATTAAGAATTAAGATTCCAGTTAAATTTAAAAAAAAAAATTGCACTTGAATAATTGTACTTACCTTATGTTAAATGTAAATTTTCCAAATTTGCACTTTTTTCCCCCTATTTATAATTTCCTCTTATTTATATTTACTTTTTTATTAATTAGTTTTTTTTTTTTGATGACTCATTACATTATTAAAATTAAATAAAAATTCGAAATTCGTAATTTGTCATTTAAATTCGAAAATTGTAATATAAAAATAAATAATATTTTTCGAGTATAAAAACAAAAGCTTTCTCAAACATTCAATTGATCCATTACGAAAGTATAAAATGCAACAACAAAATAGAATGAAGAGAAAAACATTGAAAAATTATAAAATATTATTAAGAGAATATTTTAAGAGAGAAACACAAATAATAATAAAAATAAAAAAAACCGAAATAGAAAATAAAAAAAATTAAAACAACCCCTATTTATTCTATATCCAGTTATACTACTCGTATAATTAGAATAGAATATAGAACAGAATAGGTAGGTAGGTAAAGGTACATAACATAATTGTTATACTACTGTATATGTACACAATCAGAGAATAAATAATATGTACATTTAATTTCGAAGTGCATTGTATTTGTATTCGTGCAACATAAAATGTATAACGTAACATATACAAGACTTTATATTATAAAACATAATCTAACTGAACTGAACTGAATATAAGGACTTATGAACATAATCATACATAATACATGTATGTATATGAATACAGAGTATATATATATATATATATAATAAAAATAAAATATTATTTATATAAGTATACATGAATATATTGTGTACCTAACCTATTCTACCTAATGTATGTTAAAAATAAAAAATAAAAACACAACAGCTTCCTCACATTTTTTCTAACGAATGCGCATATCTCAAAAGTTTTATGAAAAAAAATTTTTTTTTTTTTTATGTTCCTTTCATTTTCGATTTTCTATTCCCAAATGGTGGAGAAAACAAAAATTTCATTTAATTTTTTTTTTATTCATTATTGTTATTTTTTTCTTTTTTTTTTGAGTAGAGAACAGAATATTGTATAGATAGAAGAACACATAGTGCAATATGGTAAATGGTACCAAAGTTCACAACCATTATTATTATTGCTTTCCTTTATGATTACATTACACATCAAAAAAATTAGAACATACACAAAAATTTTTCACATAAATATTAATTATCTGTATTCGTATATATATATATATATAAAAGGAATTGCATATTACACAGAGAGAGAGAGAGAGAGAGAGAAGAAAAGAAAATTTTTCTCTTTTATTTTTTCATTTTTCTCATTTTCATTTTTATTTTACTTTTTTTTTCGTCTCATGTCGTTTTAAAGTTTTCCCATTTTTTTTTATTAAGTTCAGTTCACTGTGAGAAGTTGTAGAAACCGGTCGAATTTTAAAAATAAAAAAAAACAAATATAAACAGTAATATAAAGTAAATAAAAAAAAAAAAAAAGGATTTTTTTTCTTTTTGTAACTGCATATGCATACATACATACATACTTATATTGAATTTTGAAAGATTATATAAAATAACAACAATAATTTTTGTGTACAATTAATTCTCTATATATACTTATATATACATATTAATTTGTACAATAATATATATGTATATATATATATATATATATATATATATATATATTTAATAAACGTAAATTTTTAATTATATTTTTAATTTTTTTTTTAAAATACATAAAACTTTTTATATTTAAAAAAAAAAACTCAATATTGTGTTAAAAATTAATTAAAATTAAATTTGAAAAAAAAAAACAAATTCCTAATATATCTTCATATACACACTCGCCTATATATAAATGTTAAATATACGTATATAACCATTATATTACAGTACATGAAATAATTTAAAATTATTGAAAAAACAAAAAAAAAATTGAAACCAAAAAAAATTTTTTTATGTGAAAATATTTTTTTTTTTAAGTGGAATATAAAAATTTTTAATTTTTTTTTTTTGAACTTTTAAAAATTAAAAAAAAATAAAAGTGATTTTTTAAAAAATTAAAAATTATTTTAAAAATTTTAAAATCGATAATTTCAATTTGAACGTTTTTTTTTTTGTTAGTTTTACATAAGTATATAATGTAATATATAATATAGAAAGTGTATATATATATATATATATATATATATTAGATATATATACTGTTATATACATACTATATTCATATATATATATATTATATACACATTATGTATTTATATAGATAATATCGTAAAAAAAAAGAAAAGGAAAATTAAAATTCTCCAGAATTATTTTTTTTTTTTTTTATTTTTTGTCTTATATATTTTATGTTACATATATTTTTAAAATATATAAGAGCATAATTATGTATATATAAAATAAAATGAGAAAAATATTAGCAGAGGGAAAAAAGGATTTTTTTGTTTTTGTTTGTTTTTTTTTTTTAATTAATAAAATCAAAAAAAAAATTTTTTTTTTTTCCATTCTCTTAAATTGCAGCTCAAATTCTAAATATTAATATTAATTTCTTTTGGGATATAAATCAAAATAAATTCAATAATTTTATCAAAAGAGAAGAAGAAGAGGTGATTAAAATTTTTAAATTATAGACAAAATAAACGATAAATTATTAATTAAAAAATTTTATTCCTATAATTAAGTATAATTAAATAGTAATTTTATTAACTGAAATTCTTATTTATATATATATATATATACAATTTTTTTTATATATCAATATATAAATATTATATATGTATATAATAATATATCAATATATAAATATTATATATATATATCAATATTCGAACACATAATATACTGTGTGTGTATAACAGTTATATTTTCATTATTATGATTATATTTATTCCTATAATTATGTTGCATTACTATATATACAAATATAATTTAAATATATACTTACATGTAGAGTAAAACAAAAAAATTAATTAATTATATTTAATAAATATTACATTTATAATCTACATATATATACATATAGTATATATATTTCTAAATATATTAATAATGTTATATAAAATCAATTACTTATATAAATTTTTTTCATAAAAAATTTATTATTATATAAAAAAAATATTGTTGTGAAATGCACAGAAAAAAAAAATTTCAGTTTTTTTATTTCTAAAAGTATAAACTTTTCTATACATCCATACATTTATGTATATTCAATATATATATATATATATATCTATATTGATTTTGCAAAAGGGATAGTGTTATACATATACGAGTATATTATATATACATATCTATATATAGGTACTTTATTATAAAAATCCGAAATACGAAATCATGAATAAAAAAATCGAAATATACGTTTTACATACATACATATATATTATATACTATGTATTTTTTAAATTATTAAATAGATATATATGATATAAAGTAGAATATATATATTTATATAATGTTATATGCATACAAAGACAACAAAAGTATATTATGTATAGAAAAGGAAGAGTCCAAAAAAAAAACACTCACACAATCATATCCAAATTAAACTAAAACTAAGTATATATAAGTTACTATAATATAAAAATAAATAGTAAATCTAAGTAAATGAGTATATTATATAGGTATATTATACAAAATGATGTTTGTCGTTTCAAAATAAATAAAAAATAAATAAAACGGACGGAAAGACAAGAGAAAAAAAAAGTAGAGTATTCAATAAGTAAAAGAATTGAGATACAAAAATAAAAACTCAAAAAAAAAAAAAACCATTCCTCTCCTCTTAATTTATATTCGAGTACATATGGTTATTTTTATAAATTTGCTTTTCATATTATAAGGATATTTTTAAATGTTATAATATATATGTATGTATTTATATACTTACAAAATTTTATTGTATAAGTTGCAGCACATATATTGCAGGATATATATATATATATATAGATATATATATGAATTTCACCTACTATGTATATAGGAGGCAAATCTCATTTACTATTAATATATACATGTATATATACAAAATATATATATATATATATAACAGTGAGGAATATATATGTATACTTAAATCAAGTTAGATATATATAATATGCTTATATTGTTATATAAAAGGATATATGAAATAAAAGCAAAAAAAATTAAAAATGAAGAGAAAAATGAATTTTTTAAGGCAACTGTCAAAAACTTCCATTCTATTCTTATACTTTTTGAATCTCTCATTCTAGTTGTTATTGTTCTAACTATAGTGTTATACCTTTATATTTAATTTTTTTTCTGCTGCTTCTTCTGCTATTTTTTCTTTTTCTCTTTTGATTACTCTGAAAAGCTCGCGTATATTATGAATATTTTTAGTATCCTTTATCGGAATTTCATACCTTTTTTTTTTTCCTCTGTTATTTTATCTGTATTTTATCAAGGATTATAACAACAATAATTTTTGTTTGTTTTTTTTTGGTTTTGTTTTTGAATTTTTACGTTTTTGTGTTTTTGATTTCTGCTTTCTTTTCTCTCATTGCATTCCTATTTTATTTATTACGTTCGTATTGTATTACACGAGATGCGATGTATAATATACGATATGTACATTGTTTTCTTTATATTGCTTATATGCTATTCGAATATGACAATGACAAGAGCGATGAAATCAAAATAAAAAACAAAAGAATTGAACCGAATATTTAAACAGAATTTTGAAATCTCATAACCTAATCTTTAGGCCTAATATAAAATTCCTTATATATATGCTATACATATATGCAAGTATATAAGTATTGGAATCCCGCTAACCATATTCTGATCCTTTCATAAACAAAACAAAAGAAAAGAATTATGAAATATTTTAAATAAAAAAAAAATTTAATCGGTAAAATCTAGTAAAATTTTATTCATGAATTGATTTTAAAGTTGAAAGGGAAGACAAGAATATAAAAAAGGACAAAGCAGAAAAAATTAAATTCAAAAAATTTTTTTTTAAATTTCCGTTTTCATTGTCCTTTTTTTTCATTGTTTTTTTTTTCTTTCTTAAAATAAATCGTATATAAATACGTAATAAACTCTTATACAAAAATGTTAAGGTCATTCCGCTTTTTCTTTCCCTATCTAGCTTTTTATTTTGTTTTTTGTTTTTCTCTTCCCTTGACTTTATATAATTTTTTTTCTCTTCGTGGTTTAATTTCAATGTACACTGAGAAAAATTCTATGTATATATGAATAAAGTTTTTTGATCTTGAAAAAGCAATAAATAAAAAAAAAAAAATATGATTATATTTTTTGTTTCAAAGTTGGTTATGTAAAATTATAAAGAATTTTTATAACAGTTTATTGGCTTTTTAGAAAATGCATATATATTTTTTTTATATAAAATTATAGGATGAGATTAAATTATAACATGTCACTTATTGGAGAGGTTATTGAAATAAAATCGGTACAAATAGGGTTGCATAAAAGTTATAATTTAGAAAAAAGGATATACAAAAGGTTTTGCCATAAAAATTTATTGAACTTTATTATAAAAATTAAATGTTAAGTAGAGAATTTTTTAGAAAGAGTATAATTTTATTTTTGTACGTATGCGAGTGCCTTGTGACTTGGAAGACACCATTAAACAAGTATAAAATATTTTTCATTTAACATAGAAAATTTAAAATTATTTTAAAAATTTCAAGTAAAATAAAGCAATTTCGAAGACTTTCTTAATTCAATTTAAGTAGCAAAGTGAAACAGTATAACATGATCATAGTATAGTACAGTGGATATGGCTCAATAATTCTTTAACCGAAAGGTCTCGGGTTCAAATTCCGGTCCGGTCACTATATAAAATTATAACTTAATATACAATACTTATAAATATAGAATACAAGTATTTTTCATATATATTCATAATATATATTCATATGTATAAATTCGAAAATAGAAAATAAAATGTACTCGAAAAGTATTCCATTTAAAACAAACGTGCGTAATCATGTATTTGAGAAATATATCCGTGAATAAATATAAATTCGACTTAAATAGAAGCTCAAGTTATATAGGAAAATCTACTAAGACTAACATTTACCAACTACAAATATTTATTATATACGTAAATATATCTGAAATGGTTGAACTGCGTATATCACACGTTACCTTTTTTACGTCATTATGATTTTTAATTGTTTGTCTAAAAATTATGCATAGATTTTTTTCCTTTTAAGAAATTATTAAAAATTTTTTTCTTCTAATTGCTAAAACACTATGTACACGTACATATAATATAATAGTTTTATTATTCATCCTTAAAATAAATATACTGTTATACTACATTCTTTTCTATAATTTTTGTGTTTTCTTTTCTGTTTGATCATAACATCAATTTAAACAAAAACAAACATTTCAATTTAAATTTATAAATTAATTTGAACAAACATTATAATAATCAAATACCAAAGCAAAAAAAAAATAATAAAATTTATTTTTATCTTTATACGAGTATTTACGTACATGCATGAATGATTGTGCACAAAATATACACAATTGAATTGATACCTTTCATATACATATATTTATATATATATATATAGGAACATTAAAATTATAAACAAATAAACTGTAAATTGAAAATTTCATAATATTATTTTTAATAACTTTACAAAATGATTTTTAAAGTATTGCAAAAATAATTAAAAAATATAAAAAAAAAAAAAAACAAATTCTATTAAAATTAAATTTTTATATTACATTTATAATATTATTATATAATCTAAAAATATTGTTAATAATTTGACATACAGCGCCATCTGTTTTATTATAATTTTACATAAAGCTTATTGTTTATACTAAAACTTGTTCGTCTAATAATGAATATGAACTAATTATGTAATATAAAAAATTTTAGGTGTTTTTTTTTCAAATTAATAAAAAATTTGCAAAAAATCGAAACCAGAATGTAAATTCGAAATAAAAAATATGGTTGGCACAATATTGTCCAGATATACGAGTAGATATCTTTGAACTACCACTTTATATTACCATATACATAGACCGGCTTTTAATTTTACTATTTTACTTTGTAATATTTTATAAAAAATTCGAATACCATGTACTTACTTAATACCATTTTTCTTAAATTTTTGAACGAAATTCGCATATATGAGCAATAATATCGTAAATTCATAATTATTAAAAATTATATATATAGGAAAAATGCTCTTTTAGAACAATTAATAAAATTTTATACCACTAATTTTATTAATAAGCATTTTATAAATATTATGTAGTTTTTTGAACTATTTTGGTTATGGTCAAAGAAAATTCATAAATGCCATGACCTTTTTATTTTGTCGAAAATTTACTCATCTTTAGTTTTTTTTTTTTTTTTTTGTTTTTTGTATTTAAGTGGATGTTTCATTTCATAATGAGTATGTACGAGTATACGCAGTATCTAGATGAGTATATAATATTTAATTTAATAATAATAAGCCTTCAAAATAAATAGCAAGTATTCAATATATAAAAATAAAAAATATAAAAATTAAAAATTCTTACATAGAATATCAACATTATGTGCGTACATATAGCCATGTTAAATATGTAAGCAAATTATATATATGTATATGTGTGTACTTAA